ATATATAGAACATAGTCTGCAAGAACACATAGGCTACTTATTATGTATTTTTTTAATTTAGCGCGGGCAGAGACGGGGGCGTTCGCTAGTTATGTAATAAATCCCACTTAATGCAATATACTTCACAAATAAACAACGCAAGATAACGAAAGCGTTCACTAAACATGTTGCGGTTGTAACAATTCCAATGTGTAACAACTTGTTGACAAGGTCAACGCCTACATAATGCAAATAAGTAATACAATAACATAACATGCTAAACAATGGGTTCCCCACGGCTTTAGGGTTCCGTACACACTCTATTTTTTACATTTATACGAAATAATAAGAAACTCCTCATATTTTCAGCTATTGACAAAGAATTCCAAATTAAATTTGTTGAGGCTAATGATTTAAAGCGAAATACACAACATTTAGAAAAAAATACGGTCCATGACATGAGCGCATCATCTCATCATCATGAACTGAGAACATCGTGGAAGCTGTGATGTCGGTTGGAACAAGATCAAATCATTGCAAGTTCTATAATAAATCATTTCCGATGCGGCCCTCCGCGCCGTAAGATGTGGAGCGCATCTGCCGCGCCGGCCAATCCGTGCCCGCCGTTCACATCTGTCGCTTCGCACGCAACCCAGGCCCCCAACACTTGCTTGAGAAAATTACGGACATTGTACTCAGCTAGGGAGAGATGGGAGACATCAATTATCAATGAAATTGTCATATCTTATCTTTCAATTTAGCTATATTATAATTGAAAATGTGTCTAACGAACTAAATTCAACAAAATGTGAATATACATAGGGAGCTGTTTTTGTAAGGATATAATTCGTCCTAATTAGTGAAAAAAATTGTTACTGCAACTCCTATTAATTAGCGATTGAAGTTCTAATTTGACATTAACTGGAAATCAATTTAAAGATCTACCTTGAAAGTTTGTCTATAAATAATAGATCAGTCTAACTTTTCGCAGTAAAAAATGTAAAATGTGAACCTGGATTTTTATAGTCTGTTCTAGTGTTGTAAAATGGAAATTTGGACTGTCCGTCGCAAACAGACCATCTGGCAACCCTGTGCACATCACTGCGTTCTTTTTGTTCCTTTTGTTACTAGTTTTTGTGGTCGTCCTCGAAACCAGTAATTCGAATAAAAGCCACTTTTGTACCTGAGCTTACTTTGCCTTTCACATTAATGAGTTAACTACCGACTACTTAACCATATTTTACTTTAGTTGTTTAAGGATTGCTCGCTTGACGAAAGCCAATGTAAAACGTTCAAACTATAAATACTCCACCGCAGTGTACTTCCAGTCTTTGTAAGTGGATAAAAGAATTGAGATGAGTCATAAAATACGAATGATCTCAGTTTACTTTGAGACACGCTACTAATGTAGCTGGGAACAATAAACGAATGTTTTTAATACTAGATTTTATAATATTCAATGTCATAAAACTGCTTTGAAAATTTTTAATTGATAGTTTTCAATTAGATTTTAGCAATGGGATCTTTTTTCTATGTTAAAATGTATGTGAAAATTACGTCTTTTATATTGTTAAAGAGTTTATTAACCTTTTATTTACATTTTCTTTATGTTCTAACATATTTATTAAACATCAATATATTACGGATTTACGTATACAAAGGCAGGTGTTTTATTGATCAGTGGGTACGGAAAATACGTTGATTTTTTTCACTTTTGAACACATTCAAAATCATCATGGCGTGTTCTGCCCTTTCCGAGATATAAAAGGTTATTTTTGGGGTTCAACGAGTGTAATTATGTTCCGAACACATTGAAGTATGGCGACAAATGACTTACATTAAACGCCTAAACAAACAGCTAGAAATATGTACTGCAGCGGATGTCCGAAAATAGGACGTGAAACATATTTCAAATTTTATATTTGTTTAAAATAATCTAGATTGTTCTGTAATTTAAACAAAGTAATTAATTTGTTAATTTTAAAAGAAATATTTGTCTTTTTGATAACATTAACCGTTACTTTCTGAGACTAAAATCTCCGTATAAAACATATCGTTATGTCTGTCATTATCTTTGACAAAACAGAAATAACAATACGTTTTAAAGGTGGTTGTTGGTCTCAGAAACCCACGGTAAATCAGTCGAATACTTACTATCAATCTCAGAAATTATTTTTTAAATTTAATACAGGAAATCTACACTTAGAGACTGCTTAGGCGAATTTTGAGTGTGGAAGGTTTATCTCATACGAACCACACCTGCAGTGTGTTCGAATGACACGTCAAAATGCTGACAATGACGCGATCAATTACGTGTCACTCGTCAATGGACCGCATATTACTTATATACACGTGCTCTTGTTTATGTCCAGACTGCATTTATCATACGTTCCTCGTAATGGTACCAATGTAGTAATTTCTATAGTTGGTTATGCTAACAAACAATTAAGTTGTAGTAGGAAATACTGGATCAGATCACAATGCAACAATTTAAAATGATGTTTTATTTATTTTATACTTTTAGTCACTTTTTACATTTTTATGCTAAAATAATTAGTAAATTCAAGTAAATCTTCTTTTTATAGGTATCTATTGCAATATAATTGGTAGAATATATTTAAGATATGACATGTTTTAAAAACCACGGATGATGTGAAAACGACTGCTATAAAAAGCAGCCGTCGCAACGCGGTATTGAGCAATCAAGTTGTTCAAGGACAAAAGCTCAGACTTCATTAAAGTACAATGTGTTATGTTTTTTATAACTTGATTTATTTATACAGATTATGTTTTGTATTATGCCAGTTGTTTCATCATTCAATATTACAATAATTAGGAATTTTGTGCGTTTAAATTCAAATGACTATAAAAATAAAATAAAAGTTTACCGTTAACAAAGGCTTAAAGTGGACAGAACAGACAATAAAAAGTCTTAATCAGTCTTTAAGACTAATCTCTTCTTAACTAGAGTAGAATAAGGATTAGTCCTACAAAAGTTATGTATACTTTTTTGTGCGAACATAATTTATTATTTAAACAATGTTTTACTTGTGCTTATAAATGCGGGCTTACTACTACTTTGATTATTCTATTGTAAAACATACAGACGAATTGAGAACCTCCTCCTTTTTGAAGTCGGTTATAAACTGCTTTAATATGATTTCATTTTAGTTGTTGAGACGTTTTTGTAAAAATGTTAGAAAGAGTCGTGCATTCGCTGATGCAGCTGTATTCGGGACGTCATTAGAAACTGGGTCGACAACCTAACTGGTGCAAGTTTGCATACGTCTAGCCTTCTTAGCTCGCACCATTCTTAACTTCTAAACTGTATACTATTTTATTCACTTCTCTAAGTCGAAACAAGTTAATTTACTTTCGAAAAGGACACAAACTATCATCCAATAAAGAGAGGAATAAAAACATAGACATTTTAGGAAACAGCTTGAATTGTAATTTGATTTTTTTGTTGCAAAGATAATAATGACAAGAGATTTTTTTTATTTATTCGTCATTACCACAAAATATACTTAATTATTATATAAAAAAACTACAACGAATGAAATATTCATGACTGCTAATGGAAACAAATCTGTAAACTGCTCTCATAAGGAACCGTGGACGTTATAGCATTTGGCAGAGTTCCTATTATATTATTGTATGAAACGATCTTGGATTTAATTTCCAATTAAGTTTTACCGTTGCCTTTTTAATTTTACATAAATTTATAAATGGGAAATTTCAAAATTATTCATCCAGACATTTATGTTAATGTTTTGGATTTTCTACAGTTTTATTATTAATTATCTTACTACATAGTAAGAGTACATACTCTTTTATCTTTGTCTCACAGAAAGAAATAAGTAACACTATTTATCGACCATATTTTTAAAATGCTTATCGTACCATTTACAGGTCTGGGTTCTTGCTGAATCTAGTCAGTCATATTCACTAAATGTTATATAATATCTAAATGCATTCTAGAGCTTTGCAGCTGCAAATAAAATTACATATTTAAAGCATCACAACTTTAAGATATTAATTTTATCTGAATATAACACAATTCTTCATGTATCTCTAATCAACAGAACCGTTGAAACATATCTAAAAGTCCTGGTTGTACTTTTGACGTTTTTTACGTTTAAATTTTTTCACTTATATTTTATACCAGTGGTTCCCAAACTTATTTTGTCTACTGCCCACTTTAAGAATAAATATTTTTTAGCGCCCCCATATTAGAGTTTAAGCAATCTTTTAATTCATATTAGTTGTTGTTGAGAGTCGAGAGCTCATGCAGTCGTTGTCTATGAGGCCTCCTACCTAAATAAAATTACAAATCATCCCCAAGGCCTCTACACAACGCCCCCATTTTCTTTCTGGGTTTCTTACCCCCCCCCCCCCTTGAGACCTGCAGCGCCCACAAGTGGGCGTTATCGCCCACTTTGGGAAAGACTGTTTTATACTTTAATATGCTTAAAGCAATTAAACAGAACTTAATTAATCATAGTTATAAACAGAGGTAACACATCACATAATGATTTCATTCACACTACTTTGTTGGTACTAGTTTATTTGATGCGTGTTGCATGTTACAATGCATTGCATGCCTGTGTTGCGCGTCGCGGTGAAAATTGATCTAAGTCTAGATACAAGTTGGCGCCTAGACCGGCAACCGGAGCTACGTATTATCTTACCAACATGTTTTCACTCCTACAAGTCTTGAATATCTTTACATTGATTATATGCCTATCTTCTTTGCAAAACATAGGATTTTACCCTAACGGTTTGATCGTCTTTGACGATGTTGATGACTAAAGTGTCATGCTATATAATCCTTTTTAATTAAAACAAAAAAAAAGAATTCAAATGTCTATCAATAATAAACTGAATATTCAGCGATGAATGTTCTAAAACTACAAATGCTATGAAAATATTCTGTCTGTCTATCGCAAACAGATAACCGCATGAATTAACGACTACTATTATCTTTATACATTGTATTTAATGCATCTTTTGTATTTCAGGAGCAGTGCACTGCGAGGATGAAACGATCGGCCCGATATTCATGAAGGAACCCCCAAACCGAGTAGATTTTAGCAACACGACCGGCGCCGTAGTTGAATGTGCTGCACGCGGATCCCCCACCCCTGACGTCATCTGGGTTAGAGCTGATGGTACCGCTGTTGGAGATGTGCCCGGATTGCGACAGGTAATTTTTTAATAATTTCGTTTATAATAATTTGTACAGACTAGACATTTATAACACTGGGGAAGCGTGGTTGACTATGGTCTAGTTACCCCTGACTTAGGCTTTAAACTTCTCAGTGGGGACGCATAGTGGACTGTTGATGATGAACTTAACTATTCCACTCACTCTTTTTAAAAAAAAGAGAGCAATAATGTTCTATAAACATCTGTACGGCATTTGGAACTCGCGTTTAGAGTGAAATTAATATGTAAGTGCAGGTTTTCTTCAAATATTTTTATTATATTTAGGTTTTGCCGAACGGAAACCTCGTATTCCCACCTTTCCGTGCGGAGGACTATCGTCAAGAGGTACATGCTCAGGTGTATGCTTGTCTAGCCAGGAACCCCGTCGGCACCATTCATTCCCGTGACGTTAATGTGCGAGCTGGTAAGTTTACTGACAATTTATTTATCATAAAATTTAGTAGTCAATGTAGTTTTTATACTAATTGATAAACCAACATTTCATTATAATAACGAAGATTTTCACTGCAACAAGAACTAAGTTGTTAGTTCAAATATCTTATGTCTAAAATGTCGCTAATACTGAATAGCATTACTGGACAGATGCCAAATGCTTGCCCTTATTGTTGGGTCCTTGTGTAGACATATGGAGAGCGTGTCCGAGCATTTCGTTATCTAACTGACACGTTAGTCACACGACCCTGGGCCACAGTTTCGGTTGTTATTCGACGCTAAGTGGTAGTCAAGAGGCGTCACTTCCGCTGAACTGTTGACATGACACCACGTGTTCAATGAAATGAATTCGTTGCTAAAGCTAACGAACCAAGAATGATACAATCTCATGCAAATTTAAATAACTTTAAACGTACTTGATCCTATAATAAGTATTGCGAATGTTTAGGTGGACGGATGGATGGATGCATATTTGTTTGAAGATATCTCTGTAACGGCTGAACGGATCTCGATGAAATTTTGCATACATATAGATCATAGTCTAGGTTACTCATTATTTTTTTTGTATTCCGCGCGGACAGATTCACGAGCGACAGCTATTCCTTCATAAATATAGTTCAAGGCCAGTAAGTCCTTAACATGACAAGCCATTTAATTTTTAAATTGAAAAATAAAAGCTTATAAAATTTCCGAAAGCATAAAACTTCTATGATTTATAGAAGTATAAAATTATTCAGTAACATAACATTATGAGCCGATCCGACACTCAATGTAATATTCCTAGAATTTTTGTACACCAAATTATCTAATCCGTTATGGGCCACCGTGGGTTAGTCACCCCTGATGTAGATAGATTATTCTCTGAGCCTCTCAGTGGGGACGAATGGTGGACTGATGATGAATTATCTAAATTGTTAGTTAACATCCTTAAATAAGTCAAAACTGGCCACGGTTAACTATGTATGCAGTAGCATGTCCTCGCTATGATAGTTAATTGTGCGCTGAGGGCGTTGTCGTGTCGCCCTACACGACCCGATGCACCTCTAGGTCAATTGAATATTAGTTAATCAAGCACAGCTGCTACTGCACTGACGTTAACTTTTATAAGTACACTACAATAATCTACTTTGTATTAATAAATCATAAGTAACTAGAATCTTAGCATATAGGAAATACAGGGAACTCAAAGATTCATCATTAGTTAAAATAATAATGTAGGTACACTAGTTTTTAAATAAAATGAAGCTGCCAAGAAAGTGATTATTCTATTATCTATTATACATTTTTAAATAATGTTGGTTTATCAATTTTATATTTTCTTTAGCTTTAAGTAATTCTTCGCACAAAACAACATGGGACTCACTTAATATGAATTGACTACCAGTACTAGGAGTTGTAGTTGTGTTGGAAGACTTTATAGTATTCCTACAAAATTTAAAAATAAGAAGAATGTTTTTAAAATGATATAATTTTTGTTTAACTATGTTTTTATTTCAATTTGGATATTTTTAATTACTAATGTGTTATATTGTCATTTCTGTGTGTTTATTTCAGCAGCGTTATTTTTTAAGTAATGATAGGTTAACCATGAAATGACTTTTTTAGTAATAACCTCAATTACTGAATTAAATAGGTGTCCTTGTAAAATGGGATTGTCGGATGGGCTGTAATTGCCTAACGATGTTTTTGACGTATATGTTACTATTCTGTACCACCATACGAAGTAGTATCCTATTAACAAATGATCACATAAAACAGTTGTTGCCCAGCATTACGACACTGACGTCAACAAGGAGTATGTCATTATGGGTAACAGCATCATACTCAAGTGCCAGGTCCCATCCTTCGTGGCAGACTTCATCGACGTCCTCTCATGGCACACCGATGAAAATGAGGACTTTTATCCTGGAGAAAATTACGGTTACTCCTCATAAATAACAATGATACTCCACACATCCTTCTCCGAAAAATCCACGTAATGGAATAGAAATAACATTTTCACAGTGGTCCAACAACAGTATGAATCAGAAGTTAACAATGAATACGTCATTCGCGGTAACTCAGCCATCCTCAAGTGTTCGATACCGTCGTTTGTGGCGGACTTTGTGAATGTTGTCTCGTGGCACGATGAGGCTGGCAATGCTTTCACACCCACTGAAAACGAAGAAGGCAATGGTACATACAGTATAAAGTGAAAGTCCAAACTCCTTCTCTCAATAAATATCCCTATCCAGTCTGAAATATAAGCTTGCCTATTTCAGTTGTAACCCAATATTACGAAGCCGAAGTAGTCTCAGAGTATGTTATTCGAGGAAACACAGCCGTGCTCAAGTGCAATATCCCTTCCTTCGTCTCCGATTTTGTCAAGGTAGAAGCCTGGGTTACCTCCGATGGAGACCAATATTTACTAACAAACGATACGGGTGGGCCGTGTTCTCTAACAGTTATTTCGCTACCTATGTCCAGTGTGATCCAAACAAACTCCTGTCTATCTAAAAAAAAGTCCTGCCATCTCATTCCAGTTGTCAATCAATTTTACGAGGCTGAGATTCTTACTGAATACGTGATACGCGGAAATGCTGCCGTCCTAAAATGTTCGATCCCATCTTTCGTTGCGGACTTTGTCAAGGTGGAGTCGTGGATCGATGAAGAAGGAACTATCATTAGCTATTCTGAAGACCTCGGTAACAATGGCTTCACTAAACAATGAAAATGCAAACTTCCCAAACTGTTGTCGTCCTAAAACCTCCACCTGTCATATCCAATCAAACGAATAATTGATATTCCTCAGTTGTGTCACAGTATTACGTGACCGAAGCCGAAAACGAGTACGTGATAAGAGGAAACGCTGCCATTGTTCGATGCAAGATTCCATCTTTTGTTAGCGACTTCGTGCAGGTGGAAGCTTGGATTATGGACGACGGGCTGATATTAACGATGAATCACACTAACATAGTAGATGGTACATTTCCACGTTATGTACCAAAAACATCCTTTTCATCCGTTTATCCTAGAATCCGAAACAAGTTAGTGTAGTATCACTAACGGTAAACTTTTTTTGATAGTTGTGTCGCAGTCTTATGAGGCCGAAGCCGACAACGAATATGTTATCCGTGGCAACGCGGCCGTCATGAAATGCGAAGTGCCCAGTTTTGTCTCGGATTTCGTTTACGTTGAGATGTGGACAGATAGCGACGGTGGCACATATTATCCTGGACACAGCGAGGGTAACGCCTCATATAGATCGGCCTTCCACTTCCTCCATCCATTCATACTTGTTTTCTTATCACAGCTGTGCTGCAAACGTACGAGGGTAGGGTAAATGACGAATTCGTTTTGCGAGGCAACACCGCTATCCTTAAATGTATCGTGCCATCTTTTGTCGCGGACTTCGTTCATGTCGTGGCTTGGATCATGGATAATGAAACTGTTCTCGCTGAAGAAAATCCAAATTATGATTCCGGTAGTACTGAATACAAAATAAATAGACTACCCTAGTATCCCATCCACATCAATTTTACATCTTTACAATTCCTTCATGAAGTAAATGTAATTTACAGTTGTGCATCAAAATTATGAACCTCGGGTTACTGACGAAGATGTCTTGCGGGGTAATTCTGCCATTGTGAAATGTACCATACCATCGTTTGTTGCGGACTACGTCCAGGTCGTTGAGTGGGTAACGGACAATGAGTCCCTCCCCGTTTTTTCGTTGAGAGACTCCGAGGGCAATTACGGTAATAGAGAGCGCCCGTGCGACCTCAATTGTTCCTATCCGCTCTCCAAAAAATCCCCGGGACCTATTTTTATATTGTTGTAAATTTAAATATGTAATATTTCAGCTGTCAATCAATTCTACGAATCTCAAGTATACGATATCTACGTTATACGTGGCAATGCCGCAGTGTTCAAGTGCCATATCCCTTCGTTTGTATCTGATCATGTTCACATAATATCTTGGCATGATTCGGAAGGGGGAGAATTTTTGAGTAACGAAAACTATGGTATAGTGATTTACTGATACCAGTTTGTTTCTCCAGCTTATCCCCTCCCATTAATTTGTTCATCCTGCCTGTTACATAGATTTTTCAACTTTGCAGTTGTATCTCAGGCTTATACGGTAAATTTGGTGGAAGAAAATGTATTGCGAGGAAATTCTGCGATCTTTAAGTGTCTCATCCCAAGTTTCGTAACAGAATATGTATCGGTAGCTTCTTGGATTATATCAGAAGATGATGATGAGAAAGAAATTAAAATAAGTGATAATGAAGAGGGTACACCAAAACTTAAACTTATTTTACCTCCTTCATCCTTGTCTTCCGTTTTACTTTCCTGATAAATTCACAAATATCTACGTTTTGCTTGCAGTTGTTACACAAGCTTATACAGTAAATTTAATGGAGGAAAGTGTTTTACGTGGAAATTCCGCTGTTTTAAAATGTCATATTTCAACATTTGTTACTGAATATGTAAGCGTCTCTTCCTGGATTGTTTCTGAGGGTGACACAGATGAATTGGAAATTAAAGCCGAATCCAATGAGTCGGGTATTTTAAGTTTCTTGTTGCAAATCATAATCCTGATGTTATCCTCTTCCCTTAAAAAATAAATAAAAATGTAACAAAATTGACAATTTTTAGTGTTCCATTTTTACAGTCGTATCTCAAGCTTACACTGTGAATTTAATGGAAGAAAACGTACTGCGTGGAAACTCTGCCATTGTTAAATGTCACATCCCTAGTTTTGTCGCGGAATATGTAACAGTATCTTCTTGGATTATTTCTGAAGGAGACGTTGATGAACTTGAAATTAAAGTAACCGAGTATTCGAATTTAGGTATATTCGATATATTATCACGTTAAAACTGTCCTCCTAATCCTCACCAAATGTTTCTCGTGTATTTATGCATTATGTTAACATCAATGTGGTCCCTTATTTTGTAGCCGTTTCGCAAGCGTACACTGTAAATCTTTGGGAAGAAAATGTTTTACGTGGTAACGCTGCTATCTTAAAATGCCACATACCAAGCTTTGTCAGCGAGTATGTAACAGTCACTTCGTGGATAATATCCGAAGGAGATATTGAAGAGATGGATATTCAATTAGCTACTCAATTAAACTTAGGTATTAAAGCTTAGGTCGTCTATCTTTTTTAATCCTGGTTAATCCTTTCAGAATCCTCCTTTTAGGGATCGTCGTTACTTTTCGTTAGTAGGTACATTATAAACTGCGACAACTTTTAACGATCTTACCACATCGTTTAATATATTTAATGACTTTTCCAGTCGTCTCACAAGCTTACGATGTTAAATTCTGGGAGGAATACGTTTTGCGCGGCAATGCAGCGGTTCTAAAGTGTCAAATTCCAAGTTTTGTCGCTGAGTACGTGTCAGTCAGTTCGTGGATAATATCCGAAGATGAGAATGAACAAGAAATCAAAATAAACGATTCTGATACTCTAGGTATTTTGGGGAACATTTTAACGTTATCCTGATGTTTCCTATCACATATCCCTGCTATTTCGTGTTATTAACACTTTCATTAGCAACTCCAATATTTGTAGGGTTCTTAATGTCCGTAGGGTTATACCACGATTTGTCTTCAAGGCCATATAAGTCTTTGCTCATATTAGGTTTCATTGTTTCAGTGGTTTCTCAAGCGTACGCTGTTAATCTAATGGAGGAATATGTGTTGAGAGGGAATGCTGCCATCTTGAAATGCCACATCCCCAGTTTCGTGTCTGAATATGTTAATGTCATCTCCTGGATTATCAGCGAAGGCGATGAGGAGTTAGAAATTAAACTCGAATCTGATGAAAATTTTGATGGTATGAATATGTTGGAAATAGCTTAGACGTCTTCTTAAATCGGCTTTCAGTCATTACGATCATTCTAAACTGTATACCTTTAGGGATCTGTTCCTATTGTGGGTTCCTACCGTTCCATGGGCCTAACGGCCTACCTAAATCCTATTTCCTACTTCCTTAGATTAATGCATGTAATTCAATTTGTAAGTAAATCGCAACCTTATGTTGCGTTGCCTTTTGCTATTATTCATAATTGGAATGAATTAATTTGAGATTTTTTGATTGGCAAACGGTGTCTATAATTGTTTATCTTTTTGCACAGAGGGGAAATACCTAGTACTTCCATCTGGTGAATTACATATCCGTGATGTTGGCCCCGAGGATGGTTACAAATCTTACCAATGCCGCACTAAGCATAGACTTACCGGAGAAACCCGATTATCCGCTACTAAGGGACGCTTAGTCATCACAGGTGAGTTTTTATTTTTACTTGTTGTTTTCGCGCCATTAATTCATTGCATTATTTAATTAATATTCGGTTATAATTTTATTATAATTGTACTAGCAAACATTATACGTAGTGAATTCATGGCGTGCTTATTGATATCTTTCGGTCAAAAAAATAAAACAAAAGTTTAAAACAGCCTTAACATATAATCTGTCTCTTTTCCTATTCAAAGCTTATGATCCGGTATTTTTTTTTACTGGAAGATATAAATTTCAAATTTTATTAAAATGTAAAGTATTTTCAGTCTTGAAGTTGGAAATTAATAAAAAATAGACTGCAAATATTTTACCATTTTAAACAAAATAATCTATTTGTCTTGTTTTATTATTTCAAAACAATTTAACTCGTAGTCATTTTAATTATTTATTATATACATATATAATAAAAATAGATTACTTTGTTTTGAAACAAGTTAAAAAACACAATTTGTTTTTACTTTAGAATATAAACTTGCCTGAATGTTGGGATAGGGTATCCTGCAGAGCCTAAAATCGCAAAATCTTTGTATCGAATAACAAGGTCTTACAGGGAGTTGAAAATGTGTCGCGTTTAAGTTTGTGTCGGACCCACGTAAAGCCGCCTTCTCCCAACATGCGCAGAGCCAGTGGGCCGCGTGCCCCCCAAGTTCCCCAGTAGCTCGCAGATCACCAGCGGCTTCCTGTTTAGAGAGTCCTCTAGCGTCGCCGTGCAGTGTCCCGCACAGGCATACCCCGCTCCCATGTACCGGTAAGGCGAATTTTTAAGCTAAATTCGTTTTGCGTATTCCTCAGAGCCGATAGGGCCACTCCACCCAAACTGTCCACGACGCAAGTGAGCATCACGTTCACGACCACGGTGGGCATGTCCTTCACGTTACTCTGCCCTGCGCAGGCCTTTCCCGTCCCCATGTTCAGGTAACTTTCATTTACCCTGTATCCCAATTTATTGAAACCGATTTCTAGAGCCTGTCGGCCGCGTCCCCCCCAAGTTTGCGACCGTCCTAACCGGGACCATGTTCGAGGTTACGAAAGACGAACCGTACGCATTGCAGTGTCCCGCCCAAGCGTTCCCAACCCCACTGTTCAGGTAAATTTACACATAAAGCAAAATTAGTATTTGATTGCTTCTATAGAACCCGTTGGACGCGTTCCGCCCAAATTTTCATCCGTTGTGATGGGAACGATGATTGGAGTCAAGGATACCGAGTCATTCGCTTTACAATGCCCCGCTCAGGCGTTTCCGGTTCCACTTTTCAGGTACTAAGTTGTTGGTCTTTTAAGTTTGCGTAAAACCTTCATTATTGTTGATTTTTCTAAGAAAATTAGAATACAAAGTCCAACATTGTAAAAGTGAAATAATAGCGATGTTTTCATTTGCTCCAGAGCCTATGGGAAAAGTATCTCCAAAATTCTCAAGCTTAGAAAAAAGTCGACTCTTTAATTTTGAAAGCAATCAAAGTCTCTCTCTGTTATGTCTCGCGCAAGCTTTTCCTGCCCCAATGTTTAGGTAAGATTGTTATCATAAGTAAATGCGTTTCATGTACATTGTAAAACTTTCCTAAGAGCTCATAACACTTATTGGAATATTAAGTCACAGTATAGGAACGTTTTCTATTTTTCTTTCGATAAACAGAACCAATGGGAAAAGTGTCGCCGAAATTCCCATCGATGGAAACTGGTCGCAGCTTTACATTTTCATCTAATACGTATGTGACATTGCTTTGTCCGGCACAAGCGTTCCCTACTCCATTGTTCAGGTATTTAGCAATATACATATTGATGTTATTTCTTTAGAGCCGGTGGGCAGAGTATCGCCAAAATTCCCTTCGATGGATAGTTCGAGGAGTTTCAGCGCTATTTTAAACAACAGTTTGACGTTATTATGCCCCGCTCAGGCCTTCCCAGTTCCATTGTTCAGGTAATGCTTTGTTCGTGTTAGTAGTTGTTTCTAAAAAAGATTTATTCTTAGAGCCCGTGGGTCGAGTCTCGCCAAAATTTACGACTAGCGACAAAAGTCGAGCCTTCGATACAAAGGAAGACGATAATGTAACACTATTGTGCCCCGCGCAAGCTTACCCCGCCCCGGCCTTCAGGTATATTGACAACCTTAATATTTAAACCGCTCATTTCTGTTTCTTTAGAACCTATGGGCACCGCGGCTCCAAAAGTAGCGAGTAAAATGATCGATATATCGGAAGTTTCATTGCACGGTACAACCACATTGTTATGTATGGCGCAAGCCTTCCCCGTTCCAATATTCAGGTAATACTTATTTGTCCATAACCGTGTCGTTCTTCTTATCCTTACAATCGTAACTTATTTATCTAGAGCCCGTAGGAAGAGTACCTCCGAAGTTTCCTACTATGGATAATGTTAGAGGTTTCGATACTCATGTGAACGCTAGCGTAACATTGCTGTGCCCGGCACAAGCCTTCCCAGTTCCTCTATCAAGGTAAATATTATTATTAGATAGTGATCAATTTCACCGTTTCCTTCTAGAGCCAATAAATAGCGCCCCACCGAAAGTTCCCACCAAAATCATAGAATTCGTTGAATTCGCATCGGACTCAAGCGTTACTTTGCTTTGTTTGGCGCAAGCCTTCCCAGTTCCAGTATTTAGGTGAGTTTATATAAACGATAAATAGATACAAAGCGACAAATAATGTTACTATTTAACTGGAACAGTTATTTAATCCAAAGATTGTCAAGGGTCGTTACATTGAGGAAGAATATTACAATAGTATGTAACGATACTTTATCTTTTTAGAACCAATTGGCTCCAAAAGTCCTTCCTTTTCAAGCGGATCGAAACTAGCATGGTTTGAAATACATTATAGTCAGAATTTTGCACTTTTATGTCCGGCGCAAGGTTTTCCCGTTCCAGTGTTTAGGTAAGCACATTTATCTCCAGTTGTATACAATTAAACGATACATTTTCAGAGCCCATCGGGTCAAAATCACCGGCATTCTCGACCGATGACAAGTTAGCTTGGTTTATAAGGCACGTAGGACAAAGTTTAGCATTACTGTGTCGGGCTCAGGGATATCCTATTCCCATATACAGGTATTCAAATATTTATCACGCTCTCATTTCTATATAATCAATATTTTAGAACCCATCGGAACAAAATCGCCCGCATTTTCTACTGATAATAAATTCTCTTGGTACGTGAGGACTGCAGGGCAAGATTTAAATATCCTTTGTCCGGCTCAAGGCTTCCCCGTCCCAATATTCAGGTGAATAAATATGCCTATTTTTATTTATAGAACCTGTTGGCTCTAAATCGCCTACATTCTCTAATGATGTTCAATTCTCTGGAATAACGCGTAAGACCGGTCAGGACTTTGCACTCTTGTGCCAGGCTCAAGCGTATCCCGTTCCCATATTCAGGTAAGAATTTTAACGAAACTGAAATCAGTCGCGTGTCATTGTCGCAGAACCCATCGGTTCGAAGGCGCCTTCGTTTTCTATGGAATTTAAAAGCACTACACTTACGAAAGTCGCCGGGCAAGCGATCGTTCTTTTGTGTCAGGCGCAAGCTCATCCGTCCCCCATGTTCAAGTGAGTGTCGCTTAACTTACTATTATTAATTTTCAATTCAGAACCGGTAACCGCTAGAGCCCCATCCTTTCCGACGACTGCGTCATCTTACAATTACGATATAGAAGCAAATTCCGGCGGTTCGATGCTTTGTCAGGCACAAGGGTACCCGCATCCAATGTTCAGGTGGGTTCGGCAATGTAATGTTCCATTTTTCTCTTTTAGAGCCCATCGGTGCTAAAGCTCCGACGTTTTCCTCAGACTCTAAGGGCAGTATTTTTGTTAGAGAATCTGGACAAAATTTCGCATTGCTATGTCAATCTCAAGCTTTCCCAGTCCCAATATTTAGGTAAGTTAGAACGTAATACATTATAGCGTGTACGTGGTTTTTCCTGCACAGAGCCCATGGGATCCAAGCCACCGACTTTTACTACTGACTTTACATTGTCAGCAGTAACGAGGCATAAGGATCAAAGTTTTTCAATGATGTGCCAAGCTCAAGCGTTCCCTATTCCAATTTTCAGGCAAGTTTATTACTATAGTGGTTCATGTAATCATTGCATTTTAACTCCACTGTAAATATACGCTTGCAATATCAATATCGCAAAATCAAATATTGACAAATGTAAAAGGTACAAATCAAAGAACTATGGTAATACAGTTCAGGTCATAGTTGAGACTTTACTTTCTGTTTATAGATCGATTTATAATCACTTTTATCGATTTGAATTATGATTCCCTTTCATTGTTTTCTGCAGAGCCAGTCGGATCAAAGGCTCCCTCTTTTTCAACCGAGTCTGCGCTTTCTTCCATTAAGAGGCACGAAAGTCAAAGCTTTGCTTTACTATGCCAGGCTCAAGGTTTCCCTGTCCCGATTTTCAGGCAAGTTATTATTTATTTTGTTTGGTCACTCAGTTCGCTAATATTTTGTAGAACCGGTCGGTGCCAAGTCTCCCACGTTCTCCTCTGAGTCTATGGGGAGCATATTTAGAAAACGTATTGGACAAGGGTTCGGTCTTCTATGTCAGGCTCAAAGTTATCCTGCGCCAATTTTCAGGCAAGTCTTCTTTTACATCATTTAACACTAAACAAAGCTTTCTACTGCAGAACCGGTCGGATCTAAAGCCCCTACCTTTTCCACGGACGCTCGTAGTACAAGTTTCGTTCGATCGGTCAATCAAAGTTTCGGATTGTTGTGTCAAGCGCAAGCATTTCCTGTTCCCATATTCAGGCAAGTTAAGATTTTATAATCTACTTATGTAATTGTTCTTTCTTATATTCAATGCGCTACCCCAGTTAAAAGTTGTTGATTTCATTTGTTTTCTTGTTTATTTACGAGTTGGAAAATTTCTTCAGAGCCTATCGCAAGTGCGGTGCCAAGTGTCACGACAACGCCCAAAGCCGCGGTGCACTATGCACAGTTATCTTCGTTAGCTCTCTTGTGTCCAGCTCAAGGATATCCCGTTCCAGTTTCGAGGTGCGTTTATTGAATTAAGTCCCTGTATTCCAGAACCGACTAATAAAATTGCTCCACGAAGCGACAAAACCAGAAAGTTCGAAGGAGGAGAAATCTTTTTAGCCTCTCAAACCGAGTCTGTTTTTCTGACTTGTGAAGTCGCTGGCTACCCAGCTCCCGTGTTTAGGTAAGTTAGTATTTAGTACAAAATTTCTATAGGTCGTTGAGATTCAAACTTAGAAATGTTTGTCAAGGCATCTAATTTTAAGTCGTGTAGGTTTGGTGAGTTTGTCGTTGGATATGTATTAAGTCGTCTCTGTACTTGCAGAACCTACCAATAAAATAGCACCTCGAAAAGATTCTACTAAGCACTTTGAAGGTTGGGAGGTACTCTTCGTGTCGCGCCTCGAGGTAGCGTATTTGACGTGTCAGATCGCTGCGTATCCCGCGCCCGTGTTTAGGTGAGTGCGGCGTAATGTATGGTGACTGTCGATTTATCTTGCAGAGCCGACGGGTAGGACCGGGCCGAAAGTGACGGGCGACGGGCTTAACCGTCATATAGGACGAGGCGAGGAAAGCCTCGCGCTCCTCTGTGAGGTGCAAGCGTTTCCCGCTCCCCTAACGAGGTAGGAGATGGTGCGCCGGCCGGCCGACGGTCTCGCGCGCTCATCGTCACGCGCTCGGCTCACGTGCCATCCGATGTATTGATGTGCGTTGTCATTGCAGCCTGGCGGCGGCTCCGCGTGGCATGACGCGTGATGTACCGCGGCCGGCCGCAACCCTTATAACGCTCCTCAGCCAAAGTAACGATTGAGCGGACAGACACCTCCTGGTAAGTGTCAGGGTGTTCTTGCTTTCATTCAGACGCTTTAATCTTTACTTTGTGCTTCTCGCGAGTCATGGCTACACATTGCGTTAACTCATCCGGTCCAGGACTGCTAACGTACATTCTGATCGATTTTGCGGTGACTTTTCTCATTGTCGGATTATTTTAATTAATTCTACTCATCATCTAAAGATCTACCGTGTGGTTTTTTACTTTTCTTCACATTATGGTTTGGTTACTTCGATATTGGTGGTAGGGCGTCCAATCAAACCCAAAATTTGAAATTGTTATTTCTATACTAAACATTTTTGGCTATTCCTGCTTGTAAGAACTAATAAACAACGATTTATGTGTATTCAAATATATATTTTAAACATTATTGCTACTTGAAAATGGTATAAACATATGCCACAAGCTTTAATTCGAGCACTAAAATTTGATTCTTAGTTACAATTGTTCTTTACGTTATAATTATTTCATATAAATTAAAATTAAGCGATATTGGAAATTTTTACTGTTCAAACAATGTTACACTTGACATGAGCTGAACTCTTTCTGTATTGTTACAGATGGTACAAATTCATCGACGGCACGACAAGGAAGCAGCCCGTTGTACTGAACGACAGAGTGAAGCAGGTCTCTGGAACTCTTATTATTAAAGAGGCTAAAGTCGAGGATTCTGGGAAATATTTGTGTGTTGTCAATAACTCTGTCGGAGGTAAATTTTTTTGTATAGTCTTCTGTTACATAACGATACAGTCGGGATATAATTAAACTTATTTATATTTTTATATATTTCAGGTGAATCTGTTGAAACTGTTCTGACTGTAACCGCACCTCTCAAAGCAACTGTGGAACCCGCTACTCAAACAGTCGATTTCGGCAGACCCGCTGTCTTTACTTGCCGCTACGAGGGCAACCCTATTAAGACTGTGACATGGCTCAAAGACGGCAAAGATATGAATCATCATGACGCTATCCTAAGGTAATTAATTCAGCTATTTCATATCATCAGCTCACTATACGTCCCCACTGAGGGGCTCGGAGCCTACCCTATATTACGGGTGACTATACCTTTACAAAATTTTAGTACCCAAATATGATGATATCTTACTATTATCCAAGCTATTGACCACTAGGTCTATAATTACTATAAATCTTTCGAGAAAAAATCGTGGACAGACTCTATTAAACATAACTTTAACGACTAAACAAATACGATATATCCTCACTTCCAATTACACTTTAAAATATCTAAACAATATTAAAATATTACATCCGATTCTACTATTCTCTGAACGTATCTGCCTCCTAGAGGCGAACAACCTTGTTAGAGTTGGCAAAGGACTTAATTAATGAATTTAGAGGACTCAGCGCCAGTCGTTCATTACTTTGATGACTCCTCTCTAATCCTGATATTTTAAAAATGTTTCCTTAATTAATCTATACTTGTTTATTTTGCACGCGAACGAATGCTTCTGTGTATGATGAACCAATATTTTTGTATTCATTTCTTTAGCAAATGCTACATTTATAGACTTTGTTAATTGTGATTTTAACGATTATTTTTCATTAATGTGTTCAAATTAAAATGTTAAGTACACGTAAGTTTTTTGTGGTAATGAAGTTTTTTACTGCTATTGCCAGGATTGAATCTGTCAAGAAAGAGGACAAGGGCATGTATCAGTGCTTCATCAGGAACGACCAGGAAAGTGCCGGTGCCAGCGCTGAACTCAAACTTGGAGGACGATGTACGAGCTGAGAAGTTTTATAACCTACTTTTACCCAAATAACATATATTTGCTTCAAGTCCTATCACAAAAATATCTTTTAACTCCTTGATATTGCTACCTTCTTGCGACAAAGATCTGATCCATTAATACTTTTTAATTTTGAATTTATAATCAGGTTCAGTTTTATCGATTTTAATTATTTATTATGTTATTTACAGTCGAACCACCCCAAATCCGCCACAACTTCGGCGAACAAACTCTGCGCTCCGGGCCACCTCTGCGATTGAGGTGCGTCGCTTCCGGCAACCCAACACCCGACATCGCGTGGCTGCTCGACGGCGACAAGCTGAGCAGCGGCGACCGCCTGCAGATCGGACAATTCGTCACCGCTGATGGCAACGTTGAGTCAAACCTCAACATCTCCTCCGTGCACACCAATGACGGCGGCTTGTACTCCTGTATCGCATCCAGCAAGGTAGTACAGAATTAAAAAAAACAATTATATGCTCGCGTGGATTAGGGCTACCTTTCCATCAAAGTCCCATCAAAATCGATCAAGTCGTTCCAGAGATTATCGGGAACAAACGCAGCCTTTCGGACAAATATACAGACAGAAAAACATTTTTTTAAAAAAAAGGTTTTTCGTTACGATCAACACAAATACGTCCCGTGTGCAAAATACGATTTTTTTCTCGATATTACCTTCAGGCACTTAAATTTTTTTAATATGTATGGATGATATCTTATAACCAAGCAACAAATATTTATAACCTTTCAGGTGGGTAGCGCATCTCACGCGGCTCGCGTCAACGTGTACGGCCTGCCCTACGTGCGACCCATGAAGAAGCGGCCCGTCGTCGCCGGAGACACGCTCATCGCGCACTGCCCCGTCGCCGGATACCCCATCGAGTCCATCGTCTGGGAACGTGACAACCGGTACGCATTTCAAACATACGACTTTCTTACGTTCTGCTGCTAACAAAAATAACAGAAACATGGCCAAGGAATATAATACCGGCTAGATACTAGGCTTCATCCATGTCTTTATTCAATGAAATTGTGATCTATTCCTGCGTACATCTCCATCGCATTTGTAGCAAAGACACCCAAATTTCCCGTTTAAATCGTCTGGTAATAATAGACGTAGAATATAGAAAGAGAAGTAATTTACATAAGTACATTTATACTGTTTTTCCGAAGGCCAAACAAGTCTTCTTCTGGTGATTCATCACCCACATCTTGACTCTAATCCCCCCCGTCTCATCCGTGGTTTGTTTATTTCTAGTGTACTGCCCATCAACCGCAAACAAAAGGTGTACCCCAACGGCACACTTGTGATCGAGAATGTGGAGCGCATGAGTGACCAGGCCACCTACACTTGCGTCGCCAAGAACTCGCAGAGCTACACCGCCAAGGGAACTTTGGAATTGCAAGTCATGGGTAAGTCGATCTTACTAAGATAATTATTATTTCGTACATTTTGCTCAAATCGGTATTATATTAATGTCAGATAAAGATTTACGATATCTATCTATCTATCTATTTGTTATTGGTTATTATTTTTCTCAATATAATTACGTTTTGAGCAATTTTGTACGATGTCTATAATGTAAAAGATGTGAACTTTATAAATATGTTACAAATAGTGAGTTAAAATTTAAAATTAAGTTCATCTACTTTCTCTTTTTTATTTGATTGTTTAAAATTAAAAATTTTGGAATTAACAGTTATAAATCCAAATCTTTTACATTAAAATGTTGATTTTCATATTTGAGGAAGAGATTTCTTTCTACAAATACATTCTCTTCTACATAATTGTTATTTATGTTAGAATAATGATAATAAATCTGTTCAATTCAGTTGCCATATAGGTATTAAAATAAAAGTTAGTTATAAAGAAGAAAATGAATATACCTGTCCTAAAGAAAATGATTTCAATAGTTTGAATATTGACTGTTCTACTGTTTGTTGGCATAAAATGTTTAAAATGTTAATATTTGTAGAAAGCAATGTCCTGATTAAAGACTTAAAACAAGAATATCGTTAAAAAAAAGTTTAACGACATTATTTTACTTAAAAAAAAAACTTATATCCTTTCTCAGGGACTCTTCCTATGAATAATGTCATAATATGAAAGACTAAACTGAATTTATTTTTGTTAAACCTTATTATCAAGATGTTAAGAAGCAAATTATGACATTATTTAATTGATGTGTCTAATGAAAATTTCTTTCAGGTTTTATCCATTTCTAGGTGTTGTAATTAATTTAAATTATAAGTGTTTGTGTGAACTATGGTTTATTTAGCAAAATTAGGAAGATAAAAATAATTTAGAACGAAGTTTATGCCCGCCAAAGTTCGTTAACGCGCGTGGACGCAGGCTTATTAAAACGAGTTGTAACAGTGCCGCCTCAGATTTTACCGTTCGAATTCGGCGACGAGCCGGCGAACGCGGGCGAATTGGCCTCCGTCACATGCGCCGTCAACAAGGGCGATCAGCCTCTCGACATCTCCTGGACTCTCAACGGACACGCACTACGTAGAAACAACGACCTCGGCGTCACCATCACTAACATCAATAAAAAGACCTCGATACTTAATATCGATTCCGTGAATGCCATCCATCGGGGCCTATATTACTGTGTGGCCAAAAACGCCGCCGGTACCGCAAACCACAGCGCCGTACTCGAAGTCAACGGTACACTTAAAACACTCGAAATTTCTTCTCCTTTTTAGTTTAATACATCCTGTGTCCTATGCCCGTATTTATAGTTCCACCGCAAATCACCCCGTTCGAGTTTGGCGAGGAGATACTTAACGAAGGCGAAACTGCATCCGTGTCTTGCGTGATGAATAAGGGCGACCTCCCTGTCACCTTCCAATGGCTCTTTAATGGAGAGGAGATAAAGCCGCATAACTCTCTCAACATCGTCCTCACCACAATCAGCAAAAAAACATCCATAATGAATATCGAATCTGTTAACTACGCCCACCGCGGTTCCTATACCTGCAGATTAAAAAATGCAGCCGGCGAAACCAATCACACGACGTTGTTAAGCGTAAACGGTTATTAACAGTTATTTTTGAATGTTAGATGGTAGTTTTGGTTTTTTTGGCGCTTCTCAGTTTCTATCAATCCAAAATCGAAAGATACGACCGCTAGCACTGTTCGAATTCAAAATACAAGTACTTAACGACCTATTTTTTTTCTGGTAAAATATTAATTCATTTATCCATAATATTTCAATTAACTATCTTTTCATCTGTTGCAACAGTCCTACCACAAATACATCCGTTTACATTCGGGGACGAGCCAGCAAACGCGGGTGACATGGTCGGCGTTCAATGCATGGTCACAAAGGGCGACACTCCAATTACAATAAAATGGCGTTTAAATGGAAAAGACGTTAAAGAAATACCAGGAATAACAGTCACTATGATTGGGCATAAATCTAGTACATTGTCTATAGACTCAGTCTCTTTAGTACATACTGGAGTGTATACATGTTTGGCCGCGAACAAAGCGGGTCATGCAAATTATTCAACAGAGCTAGCGGTCAACGGTAAATGCGTTTAACTAAAATCAATTTTAGTACTGTTTGTTTAAGCTTTAATTCCCATCCTTTTCCTGTTATCAAGTACAGCCATGTCGACAGCAAAAAGCAATCGAGAAAAATAAACCGTGTCAATCTATCTTTAATTGTATCGATTAATAAAACAAAGTCAATAATCAAGAAATTGTTAATAGTTGTACCACAGGTAACACCATTCGATTTCGGGGAGGAAATTTTGAATGCTGGCGACACAGTGTCACTGACATGTACGGTAGGCAAAGGAGATTTACCACTTAACATACATTGGCAGCTGAACAACGAAGTTTTAAACTCTGGGAACGGCATCCTAATTAATAGGAATGGAAAAAGAATTTCAATTTTAAGTATAGAGAATGTGCAGCACGAGCACATCGGCAACTACACATGCATTTCTGAGAATGAGGCTGGTCGCAGCAGTCATAGCGCTCTACTCAAAGTCAACGGTACAATATTACAATGAAGCACGATAGTATTTAAATTATTTATTTCGCTTTTATTTGCACTTTTTATTTATCAATGTTATCTCGTATTTCCTACAACGTCCAATCATTATAAAAATTCCGTACTTAATATTAGAAAGACCTTTTTATACCATTCAGTTGCACCACAAATAATGCCGTTCGATTTCGGAACGGAACCTGTCAATGACCAAGAAATGCTGGTCGTAACTTGTACGGCTAGTAAAGGAGACTCTCCCTTCATAATACAATGGTATTTCGATGGAAAAATAATAAGATCTGGGGAAAATGGCGTCGTACTTGCAAGCTCGAAAAGAACCAGCCAACTCACTATTGAATCCGTCAGTCATCGTAACCAAGGAAACTATACTTGTCTGGTCAAAAATCAAGCGGGTTCGGTAAACCACACCGCGGAGCTATACGTCAACGGTATATCTAATCAATTGCTTTCATTAAACTCTTTTTTTTTCTTCCTACATCCTGCAGTTCCCCCTCAAATAAAACCCTTCGATTTTGGCGAAGAACCAATAAATGCCCAAGAAATGGTTTTGATTACTTGTACTGTTAACAAAGGTGATCAACCTTTAACTATCGATTGGTATTTTAACAAGAATAAAGTCAAATCTGGTAGCACCGGAATCAATCTAATGAATACGAAGCGCTCCAGCCAACTCAGCATCGACTCGGTCAGCCACCAGAACCAAGGGAACTATACCTGTGTTGTCAAAAATGAAGCCGGTTCAGTTAATTACACTGCGCAGCTATTTGTTAACGGTATCGACTTAACAATCCGTAGCTTGTATTTTCATAGAAATTAAACATATTTTCTATTTATATCTTTCGTATCCCACCCTCTCCTGTAACTTTGGCGGGCCATAAAATACAAATTTTAAAATAATATTCAGAATATTTATTGTAATCAGTAGAATATGCTAACATTAATTTCAGTCGCACCGATTATTACGCCTTTTGAATTTGACGAGTCAGTTTTCTATGGCGAGGGAGTTCAAGTCATGTGCCACGTGCCTAAAGGAGATAAGCCTCTAACCTTCAATTGGAGTTTCAACGGAGGAGATGTGAGTTCGCTCCCCGGGTTAAACATCATGAATGTGGGTGACATGGGCTCGGTCCTCATTATCCCCGCCGTGACAGCCGCGCACTCCGGCAATTACACCTGCACTGCGGCTAATGTGGTCGCCAGAGCTAGCCACCTCGCCACGCTCAATGTCAAGGGTACACTACACCGTCCATGCAATGTGCTTTGCGTGTTTAGTTTTACCCCCACTTTATCCTTCGTATGCAAACAACCTATAGTTTATTATAATTTTTTAAATAATCTCTTGCAGTGGCACCGATCATATCCCCTTTCGAATTTGATGAAGCTGTATTCTACGGAGAAAGTATTCAAGTAATGTGTCATATTCCTAAAGGCGATATGCCACTAACTCTTAAATGGCTATTCCGCGATCGTCCTTTAGAGAGCTCTAGTGCAGTTACGGTTACAAAAGTAGGACATCGCTCCTCGATATTGGCTATACCATCTGTCACTGAGAAAAACTCCGGAAATTACACTTGCACAGCATCAAATACAGTTGCGAGCACAAACCACACTGCTATATTAAACGTCCAGGGTACACTTTATTTGTTATTGTGTGTATTATTATTTTATTTTTGTTTATTTACGAATTCCCTTCATTAGTTCCTCCGCACATCGTTCCTTTTGATGCTGAAGAGCCGGTTTTTGCTGGAGAATCTGTGCAGTTGAACTGTCACATCAACAAGGGTGATGCACCTATTGCTATAACATGGAGTTTTCACGGAAAAGATTTATCGTCGCACCAAGGAATAACGACAATGAAGATCGGGCAACGGACGTCGTTACTGACAATAGCTAGCGCCACCGCGAGCCACAGCGGAGAATATGCTTGTCACGCGAGCAATCATGCTGGCCTCGCGGTCCATTCCACCTTGGTCAATGTACACGGTACCTCCCACACGCTAAACATACCTAGCCTTCGTCGCACGCTGCACGCTTACCTATATAATCATACGGCTTTCCAAATTAACAGCAATGCCACACATCGTACCCTTTGAGGCCGACGAGTCCGTGTTCGCCGGAGAGTCGGTGCAGCTTACATGCCACGTGTCGAAAGGCGACCTGCCGCTCGATATCAAATGGCATTTTCATGGATTGGATAACTCGTCATCTCATTTGGGCATAATGACGACAAAGATGACGTCCCGTACGTCGTTCCTATCGATCGCGGCGGCGGGTGCCGGTCACAGCGGACGTTATACGTGTACGGCCGCCAACAGCGCCGGCATCGCCAACCATTCCACTGTCATAAACGTCCGTGGTCAGTCTTGTTGCGTTCCACCTTGTGTTTGTCGCTGCGACTTTTTGTACGTTTCATTATGTTAAACGAATACGCATGAATTCTTTTAACATGAGATAAAAGCCTCCTTCAGTTTTCAGTTGCGTTAAATTTTTGTTCCTCTTTATTTTCACGGGACTTTTCCAGTTTTTTTTTTAATCTATTACAACGTTAAATCAGCGTATCAAAATCAATGACAACGTTAACATAAAAAATAAACTGGTGTTCATATAAATATCAAAATCACGTGTACAAACAACAATCGTTTCTTATATAAATCTACGGATAGGTTTGTTATTTCATAGTGTCCAACATTTAATATAATTTCAACATATTAGCCATTTCTCAGTCCTTCCGCACATCAGACCGTACGAACTGGACGAAGCCGTGTTCGCGGGAGAGACAGCGCATATCGACTGCTATGTATCCAAGGGAGATCTTCCTCTCAACATTACTTGGAGCTTTCAAGGAAAGCCGGTGACTGATAAAATGGGTATAAAAACAACAAACCCCAGTGCGAGGGTTTCGATACTAGACATACCGAGCGCCCTGGGCAGTCACAGCGGCAACTACACTTGCATCGCAACCAACAGGGCAGGTTCTGCGAACCACACAGCCGTACTCAACGTTATCGGTACTACATTATGAGGGTCGCATTATGCCTGTCGCTTGCTTACATATTTAATTCCGTTTATAACCACATCCACAATGTGTGATGATGCCAAATATGTAAAGCAATATATGATAAGTTCCTCTGCTTGTTAATACGTAATTTCTATTTGTAATTGTATTAAATATGGTTATAATTATCCCTGTATTTAAAAAAATCTAACTTCTTATATAACTAGCTTCTAGCGATACATTACTTTTTAGTATTTAAGAGAGCTGCGGTCACTTCGCCTTTTTTACATGCTTTATTTATATTCATATGCATCATCTAACAACAGTTTTGCCCCAAATCCACCCGTTTACGTTCGGCGATGAACCGGCTAACGCGGGGGACACTGTGGGTGTCCAATGCATGGTGACCAAGGGCGATGCTCCCATCAGTATCATGTGGAGTTTGAACGGTAATAATGTGAAGGATATTCCGGGAATTACCGTTACCAAAATTGGTCACAAATCCAGCAGCCTGTCCATAGATTTGGTCTCATCGATACATAAAGGAACTTACACGTGTTTAGCCTCGAATCAGGCAGGGCACGCAAATTATTCGACTGAGTTAGCGGTTAACGGTAAATCGGGTTTTACAACTATTTATATAGTATTCATTTTATAGTAGTTATTTCCTTTCCTTCCCTATCCCAGTTTAGTCCTGTCAGGTTGTAAAAATGAAATAAAAAAGGCGTCGATTAATTTATTTAACAGTCGCACCACAAATTACACCGTTCGATTTCTCTGAAGACATCTTGAACGCCGGTGACACGGTGTCGCTCATATGTACGGTGGGCAAGGGAGACCTGCCGCTTAGCATCCACTGGCTACTCAATAACGAAACCTTAAACTCTGGAAACAGCATCCTTATAAATAGGAATGGTAAAAGGATTTCAGTGTTGAGCATAGAGAATGTGCAGCACGAACACATTGGTAACTACACGTGCATTGCCGAGAATGAGGCTGGTCGCAGCACTCACAGCGCTCTACTCAATGTCAACGGTATAACGACAAAATATCAAGCAGTAAAATTAAACTTACACTTATTATTTTGCTTCCATTTTCAGTATATTTATATATTTATTTTGTATATCCCATAATATATTCCCAATTTCTTTCCCCTGTCAACCGAGGAAGTTGGTAATCCATATTGAGAATATAAGCAAAAAATCTTTTCTGTTATTTAGTTGGACCGCAAATAATGCCTTTCGATTTCGGAACGGAGCCCATAAACGACCAGGAAATGGCAGCTGTAACGTGCACGGCTAGCAAAGGGGATTCCCCATTCACTTTACAATGGTATTTTAACGGGCAAATTATAAAGTCTGGCATTAACGGTGTCGTACTCTTTAACACTAAAAGAACGAGTCAACTCAGCATCGAGTCTGTCAGTCATCACCACCAGGGAAATTATACGTGTCTCGTGAAAAATCAGGCGGGCTCGGTCAACCACACGGCCGAGTTATATGTGAACGGTATATCTTTAGCTGATACTATTTCATTTATTTTACTTTCTGCTTCCTTTATAACCTCCTGCAGTTCCTCCGCAAATAAAACCCTTCGACTTTGGCGAGGAGCCGGTAAATGCCCAAGAAATGGTTTTGGTCACGTGCGCCGTTAATAAAGGTGATCAGCCATTAGTCATCGAATGGTATTTCAACGGAAAGAAATTGAAGCCTGGTGATACCGGAATAAGTGTATCGAACACGAAGCGTTTTAGTCAACTCAACATGGATTCAGTCAGCCATCAGAACCAAGGAAATTACACTTGTGTAGTGAAAAATGAAGCCGGTTCAGTGAATTATACTTCTCAGCTGTTTGTTAACGGTACCGACACGAAGAATCTTAATTTTTTGTAGAAATATTGAATACTAAATTTTTAAATTATTTCATACATCCTATTCCTATCCCTTACTTTGGCGGGACATAAAATTCGACAAGTGTGATAAAGTAAAGATTATTAGTTGGAACTAGGTTATGCTAACGTTATTTCAGTCGCACCGGTCATTATTCCTTTTGAATTCGACGGCTCCGTTTTCTATGGCGAAGCAGTACAAGTCATGTGCCACGTGCCTAAAGGAGATAAGCCTCTAACCTTCAAGTGGAGTTTCAACGGAGGAGATGTGAGTTCGCTCCCCGGGTTGAACATAATGAATGTGGGTGACATGGGCTCTGCTCTCATTATCCCCGCCGTGACCGCCGCGCACTCCGGCAATTACACATGCACCGCGGCTAATGTGGTCGCCAGAGCTAGCCACCTCGCCACGCTCAATGTCAAGGGTACACTACGCCGTCCATCCAATGTGCTTTTCGTGTTTAGTTTTACCCCCACTTTAGCCCTTATCTGCGAATAATGTTTAGATTATTATGATTTTGAAAAAATAAATATAGCAATAACCATCCTACATTCAATTCCTTGAAGCCGGATTATACTAAAAATATCATCACAATTTTTAAGGAAATATGGATTTAGTTGAGCAGTCACTGTAGAAACGTGTGTTAATCCATTTTCGCGTATTTTGGTTTTTCCGTTTAAGGAGAATCCAACACGCTCATTAAATAATGTTGTTCTTCCTTTTCCCTAAAATTCATTTCTCTGAAAAGTTTCACTTTTAAATCGACAGTATTGCCCTACATCGTACCGTTTGAGGCCGACGAGTCTATATTTGCTGGAGAACCGGTGCAGCTAACATGCCTAGTCTCTAAGGGCGATCTTCCTGTCGATATCAAATGGCACTTTCATGGATACGAAAATGAATCATCTCACCTGGGTATAATGACGACAAAGATGACGTCCCGTACGTCGTTCCTATCTATCGCGGCGGCGGGTGCAGGCCACAGCGGACGCTATACGTGCACGGCCGCCAACAGCGCTGGCATCGCCAACTATTCCACTGTTATAAACGTCCGCGGTCAGTCTTGTTGCGTCCCGCCTTGTGTTTGTCGCTGCGGCTTTAAGTTTCATTATGTTAAACGAATACGCATGAATTCTTTTAACATGTATTTTAAGGCAATTTACTTTTATTTTACGTTACTTTTATTTTGGTATTCTTTTTCTGTTATATACTTTTTCAGACTTTTTAAATTAGGCGGTGAACATTGATAATTAAGCAGAGGCGGTGAAAAGGTTGTTGTCCATAAAATAAAATTAAAATTCATAACCGATATAACATAATTATATTTTTTTGCTTAGTCCTACCTCACATCAAACCATTTGAATTGGACGAGGCAGTGTTTGCGGGTGAAACTGTCCATCTAGATTGTTACGTCTCCAAAGGCGATATACCTCTGAATATATCTTGGAGCTTCAAAGGCGCACCGGTCACCCAGAAAATGGGTATAAAAACATCAAAACCTAGCGAACGTGTCTCTACCCTGGATATACGGAATGCCCTGGGCAGTAACAGTGGCAACTACACTTGCTCCGCCTCCAATGCGGCGGGCACAACGAACCACACGGCCGTACTCAACGTTATCGGTATCATATTGTGGATATTTTAGCAGAATTAGTGCGTTGTGTGTTTCATAGCAAAATTATTCCTCCGTAGAACAGACCTTATATGCACGGCTTTTGCTATCGAATAAAAAACCTACACATCCAAAATATAAAATACAACGTAGACCATACAAAAGTAAAAGATTTTATTTGTTTCCAATACTTTTAGTTGTCTTTACTTTTTACTTTGACCACAATTTCAGCGCATTTGCGTACAATTTATAAACATTTTTCAATCATAATATCTTTCGGTAGTTCGTCCGCAAATTATGCCCTTCGATTTTGGCACGGAACCGGTAAACGACCAAGAAATGATCGTCGTCATCTGCACGGCTACTAAAGGAGATCCCCCTTTCGACATACAATGGCATTTTAATGGAAAAATCATTAAGTCTGGTATCAACGGCGTTGTACTTACGAATACAAAAAGGACCAGTCAACTTACGATCGAGTCTGTCAGCCATCACAACCAAGGAAACTATACGTGTCTCGTCAAAAATCAGGCTGGTGCTGTTAACCACACGGCTGAGCTATTTGTTAACGGTATACACTGATAAATAATTTGATATTTTTAATTTTATTTATTTCCGCCTCCTGCAGTCCCACCACAAATTAATTCCTTCGAATTCAGCGAGGAACCTGTCAATGCTCAAGAAATGGTTTTGGTCACGTGCACCGTGAGCAAGGGAGATCAACCCTTAAATATAGAATGGTATTTCAATGGTAACAAAGTAGTTTCGGAAGCTCTTGGAATAAATCTTTCTAACACCAAACGAACCAGTCAACTCAGTATTGAATCAGTAAGCCATCAAAATCAAGGAAATTACACGTGCATAGTAAAAAATCAAGCCGGATCCGTGAACCACACTACTCAACTATTTGTTAATGGTATATCAAAGGATATATGTACATTGCTCTTTTCCTTCAGAATCCTTGTAGAATTTGTGTATTTTTATATTTTTTTGTTATTTTACCTACCTATCCCTTAAACGTGGTACTTTGGCGGGTAAAAAAATAATATTGAATATACAAAATTGACATGTATAATTCTACAATAAATCACAAGATAAATGAGAATATATGATGATAGGTTTTCTGTATGTCATTAATCAGAAATTATTTGTAACCATTTTTCACAGTGGCTCCTGTGATATCTCCTTTTGAAATCGATCAAGCAGTATTTTACGGCGAGAGCATTCAGGTTTTATGTCACGTAACAAAAGGCGATATGCCATTATCGCTTAAATGGCTCTTTCGCGGTCGTCCTGTGGATAATATTAAAGGAGTGACAGTATCTAAAGTAGGAGACAAGTCTTCAATACTGGCTATACCATCTGTAACTGAGAAACATTCAGGGAACTATACTTGCACAGCTTGGAACACAGTAGCGAGCGCAAATCACACCGCTACATTAAACGTCCAGGGTACACTTTTACGTGATAATTGAAAGCTTTTATTATATTTTTAGTTCACTTTTATTTTTTTCCATCAGTACCCCCGCACATCGTTCCATTCGAGGCCGAAGAGCCGGTATTCGCTGGAGAATCAATGCAGTTAACGTGTCACATCTCCAAAGGCGATGCACCCATTGCTATAAATTGGAGTTTTCATGGAAAAGATTTGTCTTCTCACCAAGGCATCTCTACGACAAAGATTGGCGACCGAACATCAGTGCTTACAATATCAAGCGCGGTTGCAAGTCACAGTGGCGAATACTCATGTCACGCGAGCAACAAAGCCGGTCTTGCGGTCCACTCGACTACGGTCAATGTACACGGTATCTCCCGTATACCCTCAACCCCTAGCCTCGCCGCACGTTGCCCGCTTGCATAAATAATTACTCAGGCTTCTATATTATATTAACAGTGTTACCATACATCGTACCCTTCGAGGCGGATGAGTTTGTATTCGCCGGAGAAAGCGTTCAACTCAATTGTCACGTCTCCAAGGGCGACTTGCCCCTCGATATTAAGTGGCATTTTCATGGCTTCGACAACTCCTCATCACATCTGGGAATAATGACAACTAAAATGACGTCACGCACATCATTCCTTTCTATCGCCGCCGCGGCCGCTAGCCACAGCGGCAACTATACCTGCGTAGCTGCTAATAACGCCGGCGCAACTAATCATTCCACTGTCCTTAACGTTCATGGTCAGTTGTGTACTCATACTATATAAGGCGTTTAACACTTTGGTTCAGCCTGCTGCGAATACTATGTTAATAGAATCAGCATGAATTCTATCAACATATATGTTAAAACAGCAACCCCTTTTCGTTTCTGTTTTGTTGAAATTTAATTTACTCCTCTCACGTTTCTTAATTTTTTTGTTAACACAGTTAAACCAAACATTTTGCCCTTTGACGTCGATCAAGCATTATTTTCCGGAGAGTCGGTGCAAATGATGTGTCATATATCAAAAGGCGATACACCTCTGGACGTACATTGGGAGTTTAATGGGAAAAGATTATCTCGGGAATTAGGAACTTTTTCAAGTGTCGGCGAACGATCATCTGTGCTGGTGTTACCATCCGTGGTGGGCGCTCATAGCGGCAACTATACCTGCATCGCAAAGAACCGCGCGGGGACCGCCACTTACACCACCATTCTCAAAGTTATTGGTATTTAACAAAATAGAACAGTTTAAAAGCGATTATTTTTAGCTGCCCTTTTGCACCTTCCAATTTTAAACATTTTTTTTGTTTTCTTTAAATTCAAGTGGTTCCGTACATTAACCCGTTCGAAGTCGAAGAGTCTATTTTCGCCGGTGAATCGATACATCTCACGTGTCATGTATCGAAAGGTGACCGTCCACTTCAGATTTCGTGGAGTTTCCAAGGACAGGAAATACCGTATCACAATAATATGGGAATAACTACTACCAAGTTAGGAGAGAAAGCATCGGTGCTTAGCGTGCCGACGGCGATGGGGCACCACAGCGGCAACTACACGTGCACCGCGAGCAACCGTGCCGGACGCGCACACCACACGGTGCTCGTCAACATTCATGGTTCGACGTCGCTGCCTACTTACGTTTGACTTGCATTTTTGTATAGTACTATGAATGTCATAGACAATGCACGTTTAGATTTGTTCTTAGATTCTCTTTTTCTCATTTGATTAGTTCCTCCCCATATAATGCCATTCGAGATAGAAGAGTCCGTGTTTTACGGTGAATCGGTGCAAATGACTTGCCACGTCAGCAAAGGAGACCGACCGCTTACGATAACGTGGACGTTCGAGGGCCAAGATTTGTCAACTCATGCGGGTATCAAGACGATGAAGATGGCAGAACAAACCTCCTTTTTATCTATAGATTCCATAACTGGGGCTCACAGTGGCAATTATACATGCATTGCGAGAAATAGAGCGGGCGAAGACAGATTTTCCACTGCTCTACGTGTTAACGGTATCTTTAGTTAGATATTACAGCATGTAGCACAATATTACTAACATTTACAAATTTTCTTTGCTCAGTCGTTCCCCACATCAAACCATTTGAGTTGGACGAAGCAGTATTCGCGGGAGAATCTGTTCACCTAGACTGCCACGTATCCAAAGGCGATCTACCTTTGAGTATAATGTGGAGCTTCCAGGGCAGAGCTGTAAAACGTAGAACGGATTTGAAGACGATGACGCTTAGTGCTAGAGTTTCCGTGCTAGACATACCGAGCGCTATGGACACCCACAGCGGCAACTACACTTGTACGGCGACCAATAAAGCGGGCAGCGCCAACCACACGGCCGTCCTTAACGTGATCGGTACGACACTCAATGATGCCCGTGATGCTTGCTTTTTGTTCAGTTCCTCCTGTCGTCCAACCCTTCTCCTTTGGGGAAGTCATGAATTCTGGTCAAGTCGTGACGGCGCCGTGTTCGGTTATCGAGGGCGACCACCCGCTTCGACTGCGATGGCTCTTTGACGGCGAACCTATCAAACCGAGGTCCGGGATCACCGTCTTTAACATAGGAGAAAGAAGCGCTATTCTCAGCATCAATTCCGTAACGCATGAGCACGCCGGGAACTACACGTGTGTCGCTGAGAATGAAGCGGGATTTCACTCGCACACCTCGACTTTGATAATTAACGGTGCATAAAATCGCGGTATTTTTTTAATATATAGATTTCTTTTCAACTGTAGTGTCGTCTTATTTTGTATTGTTTCTTTAAATAACATTTCATTAAACATCCATGAAACTTAATTCCAGTCCCCCCTAACATTCTGCCGTTCACTTTCGGCGAAAAGCCCGCCAATGTCGGAGAATACTTGCAAGCGGCGTGCACTATAAACTTTGGAGATCTTCCTCTTACCATTACGTGGATGTTTAACGGACAAGCAATATCGTTAAGAAACAACGACTACACAATCACCAACTCTAAGAGAAGTAGCTTACTAATAGTCGAGTCCGTTGATGCTAAACATGCCGGTTCCTATACATGCATCGGCGAAAATCGCGCGGGGCGTTCGACTTATTCAGCCGACCTAATCGTATACGGTTAGTCATAAAGATAATAGTAGTCGCCTGTTTTTTCTCTTTTAGATAATACATTTTAGTTTTTCCCAAGAGATTACCTTCTGAATTCGTCGAGAATCGGCGATTTTACGGTAGACAAAATAAAATAGACTTTAAAGCAACTTTTCACTAGACCCTTTGATTTGAACAGAGTTCAAGAAGAATGATTAGATTACTTTCAGAATTAGTTCTTTTAGTATATTATGACATGAAATTATAAGTTATTTTATTTATCAGTTGAAGATAAAATTATTTATCAAATTTATTGACTCCTTGTGTTCCGATATTTACTGGGACTCTCAATCAATAGCAGTAAATTTTTTGTCCTAGTTCCACCATTGATAGTGCCATTCAGTTTCGGGGAGGTGCCATCCAACCCCGGCGACACCGCGGTCGTGAACTGCGTCGCTACCAAAGGAGATCTGCCGCTAGAGATATCGTGGACATTTAGCAGCGAAACCATAGACTCGAGTCTGCACAGCGGCATCACGACGACGCCGCTTGGCCCACGTGCCTCCGTCCTCACGATCAACTCAGTGACCGCCAACCACCAAGGAAACTACACGTGTATCGTGCAGAATGCCGCAGGGCGCGCCGAGTATGCGGCCACGCTCGTCGTCAATGGCACGTTCATTGAATGCATTGGAAGCGAATGAATGATAACGGGGACTAACATCACCAAATGCACAACAAAGGGATCCGATCCGTTCAACCTCACCGCTCTTTTCATATACCCACACTAGATGCTAACAAACTTAACAAAAATTGACTTAACATGAACATCTTTGATTATTTCCAGTACTGCCTCGCATAGTTCCATTTTCATTCGAGACCCCATTGTACGCGGGGCAAGCGAGTCAGGTCACTTGTTTAGTTTCCGAGGGCGATCAGCCTCTCGAAATCAAATGGTACTTTGAGGGTCGTCCCCTGAAAGAGAAAGCCGATGTGGTGGCAAATAAAATAGCGCAAAGGGCTTCTCTGCTCCTCATCGACCCCGCCGGCTGGTCGCACAGCGGCTCTTACATGTGCCTTGCGCGCAATGCCGCTGGCTCCTCCAACTATTCCGCTACACTAGAAGTACACGGTATACATCTCTGCGTACCCCTTGCTCCTAGCACGGAAAGCTTTGCATAGTTACCATGTTGTGTGCTTCAGTCGCGAAAATACCTTCTCTAAATGACAATTAACTTAGATGAAATGTAAAGACATTCCAAATTCGGTTCTACTGGTGATAAACAAATCTTGATAGATTGTCGTGAAAAGCGTGATGACAAAAAAAGAGTAAATAAGCGACACTCGCAGGGACCGGCTGCGGCTATCATCGACGAAACCATTTCTTCCTCCTTTCCTAGCATTTTGCAATCCACCTAACCATATCCTCTGATTCCCGTCTATTAATTTATTTTCTTTTTTGTTATGCATCTTATGCTTTTGGGTTTTGCATGTTGCTTGCTATAACTTATCTGATGAAATGATAATTTTCAACGATTACTTACTGAGCAAAAGCTATGATTATTACTTCATCAGTTTGTGGTGTTGTTGGTATTATTTGCTTTTTCGCTTTCTTTGGTTTTTACGTCTCATTATTTTTTTTGATTTTTATTGTTGGCTTGAATCGTTTTATTTTGCAAAAAACAGAATTGTTACGAAAAGCTTCTATAGCGACGGCTTCAGCAACATACTGTATATTATGTGCATTTGTATTATGTGCACAAGCCAGTAGACGTATCACTTATCGTGAGTTGTAACTGTTGTTACGTTAACAAAACATACCTCAGAGAATGATCTCATAACGTTTTATATGGATATATCAACAATTCATACTCACGGTCATGCTGTGTACGTTATAGGAGCTTTTTCATATAAACTGAACTAGAATTTGAATGCAATGTCGACTCACAAACAGTTTATGTATATTTCAAGCACAATATTAGCGGAACTTCACTTTAGTTCTAGTATATAACGTAGTATCACTTCTACATTTTTTTGAACAAATAATAATGATGCAGACGAGATATTTCTGATTCTAGTTCGCTGTAAATAAAAACTAAAATCTCCCCCCTTTTCAAAATTTTACTTAACAGAATAAATAGTAAATTCAATAGTGATAAGCACCATTACATGGAAATTCACTATTTTTCATATATATTATTATGGATATAAAGTAAAATTAAAAGCGTTAAACATTGAATCCTTTACAATCATTGGAAAACTAATTTTAGTGTTAATAATTGTAAAAAGCTCAGTTTTAAATCAGGCATGTAATTTCAGAGTAATGTCGCTTGTCACAATATAAAAAAAAACATTGCCAACTTCTTGAGAAAAACAGATTCAAGTCCACAAAAACGCTTTTTTTTATTTGTAAACCGACGATAAGTTTCTAACGTTATTTGTAAATTTTAGTTCCCCCACGTTGGATTCTTGAGCCCACTGACAAAGCTTTTGCTCAAGGCTCTGACGCTAAAGTCGAATGTAAAGCCGATGGCTTCCCCAAGCCTCAAGTGACATGGAAGAGGGCAGAAGGTATGAACTAAATAATAAACACGCTTCTATTCAATAAACTTTGTACTGAGCAAATTGTAAAGAAAAAAATATTTTTAGGGGATACGCCTGGCGATTACAAAGACCTTAAACCAAACAATCCCAATGTAAAAGTTGAGGACGGAACATTGACCATTAACAATATTCAAAAGACCAACGAAGGTTACTATCTCTGTGAAGCCGTCAATGGTATTGGATCCGGTCTTTCTGCCGTTATTCTAATTAGTGTACAAGGTAAATATACTTTGATATATGACTAAAATAATATACGAGAACTAAAATAAAAGAAATTCTAATAACGCTTGATGTTTTAAATTTGTAGCACCTCCTCAATTCGAAATTAAAATGAGAAACCAAACTGCACGCCGAAGCGAACCAGCTGTTCTGCAATGCCAAGCTAAAGGTGAAAAGGTAAGGATATAAATCGTACCAATAAAGTCATCTGAAATAGAAAACCTGTTATTTATATTTTTGTGCCATTTAGCCCATTGGAATCATCTGGAACATGAACAACAAACGCCTAGAACCGAAATCCGACCCTCGCTATACGATTCGCGAAGAGATTCTGCCCGGAGGAGTAGTCTCTGACCTGAGCATCCGACGCACTGAAAGATCCGATAGCGCCCTCTTTACTTGTGTAGCCACCAATGCCTTTGGATCCGATGACACCAGCATCAATATGATTATCCAAGGTAATTGAAGCATAAAGCTTTTTTATCACCAACTAGCTCTAAATCATCAAGAATGACAATTTTCCTATGTTTACGATCTAAAAGGAACAAACATTTTGATGACTTTAACAGACTTTAAAAATTATTGTTCGTTGCAGAGGTACCCGAAGCTCCTTATGGCCTGAAAGTACTCGACAAATCCGGCAGAACCGTCCAACTGTCTTGGGCCGCACCTTACGATGGCAACTCTCCCATCAAGAAGTTCCTCATTGAATACAAACGGGCTAAGGGCAACTGGGAAAAGGATATCGACCGGTATGCTAACAATTGTTATCTGTATTTGTTTAAAAATATTTTATGGCATCACTAACCATGATATCTCTCGGTAAAAAAGTAGAAAGTGTGTTTCTTTTTGGTTTCAGAAAGGCATAACGCTTCGGAAATCTCAATCATAACCTTACAGAATCCAATCGTCTTCTTGTGTTACGTTAGAATTCCCGAACCACAAACTATTACTCCTACATAAACTAGCTACTATTGCCTCTACCACTATGATATTTTAGTAATTAACAATAATTTTCCCAGAGTACTCGTCCCCGGCGACGCGACCGAAGCTGGTGTATTTAGCCTCCGCCCCGCCACTGCTTACCACATCAGAATCGTAGCTGAGAACGAACTGGGAACATCCGAGCCTTCCGAGACTGTCACTATTATAACCGCCGAAGAAGCACCCACTGGCATGCCTCAAGATGTTAAAGTTGATGCTGTTGACAAACATACACTCCGAGTTACATGGAAACCTCCCCCACCTCAGGACTGGAATGGTGAACTCCAAGGGTAAAGATTAACATTCACTAAAATTGCTTAAAGATTTTGGATGCAACAAGTTTAGATATAATGCATTTTTATACTGATAAAAAAATAAATTTGAATTACAGATATTACGTAGGCTACAAACTGGCTTCCAGCAACAAATCATTCGTATTCGAGACCGTCGACATCTCTAAGGAATCCGGCAAGGAGCATCATCTCGACATTTTGAATCTGAAGTAAGTGTTAACAATGAACACAGAAGAAAAACACTACATATCCGTGAATGGAATAGGAAAATAAACGATAATTGTTTTGAAGTCACATGTATAAAAGTTCCTGTTTTCTGATTGACGATATAACAAATGCCATAAATCAATAGACTTAGTTATACAGTTAAGATTGACCTTTTACATCGATTATGAAAAAATAAAACATAGATTCATAATATTTTCCAATATTATAACAAATAAAACGTGTTCAGGACCTACACTCAATACGCGATCGTGGTACAAGTATTCAACAAGATGGGATCTGGACCCGTGTCTGGTGAGGTCCGCGCCTACACTGCTGAAGGTGCCCCCTCCGCGCCTCCTCAAGACGTCCTGTGCACCACGCTCACCGCTCAGACCATCCGCGTCTCCTGGGTGTCCCCGCCTCTTGCCGCCGCTAACGGACTCATCAAAGGCTACAAAGTTATCTACGGACCTAGCGACACTTGGTATGGTGAGTATCGCTTTAAAAATGGTTTCTTTTTCTGTTTGATCATCTATAGTCGTATAACTACTAAAATCCGAAGTTTAATACGTTTAATGCCACTGTGACAGAAAAGTGATCTTATAGGGCGATTTGGTCGCACTGAAAGTGTTAATTATTTTCATTATGAAGCCATATGATACTTTAAAAAGAAGAAATATTCCATTCTGTTAAGTATACTGTAATGTACATATTTTAAGATAAACGTTTTTAATTTTTAGATGAGAAATCGAAGGACACAAAGATCACAGCGAGCAGCGAAACCATTCTGCACGGACTGAAGAAGTTCACCAACTACTCGATGGAAGTGCTGGCGACCACCAACGGCGGCGACGGCGTGCGCTCCGCACCCATACACTGCCAGACTGAACAGGACGGTCAGAATGTCTTTATTTATTAATTGAAAAAAAATGATGGGTTGACAGCTCGTATAATTTACAAGGAGTTCATATTGATAGTGTTTGTTTCCTTCCTCCAGTTCCCGAAGCACCGCGCGCTGTGAAAGCTCTGGTTATGGGAGCCGATTCAATCCTGGTATCGTGGAGGCCGCCCGCGCAACCCAACGGCCTCGTCACCCACTACAACGTCTACACACAAGCACAGAACACTGAACCTCATCCTAATAAAGTAATAATAACGACTAAAATATATTCGTTCTTATACTAAACTTTAAGGCTTTTGCTAAGAGTTAATGACTATACTCTGATGGCGAATCTAAACATTAAATTACCCTTCGGTTTAAATAAAGGTTTATTTTAATTTGTTTTATTTTCGTGTTCGAAACGACGTGCAATTAAATATTGGCACCTTGTATTAGGTCCCTGCGTCTCAAACGAGCTACTCCGCGACAGAACTGAAGCCCGGCCGCTACGACTTCTGGGTGACTGCTTCCACCATCATCGGAGAAGGTCAACCCTCAGCCACCGCATCTTGCAGCCCCAACGACAAAGGTTTGTTATATCTGACATACGAATTGATAATGTCTCTTTACGGTATTTAATAAATATTTTCATATTACAGTTCCCGCTAAAATCGCATCATTCGACGAATCATTCACTGCTACGTACAAGGAGGACGTCAAACTGCCCTGTCTCGCCGTCGGTGTTCCCTCGCCTAATATCATCTGGAAGGTAATGTTAATAAATATCTTCGGGTATGCGTTTTATCGTAGCTGTATACATATTTGACACTCTCTACGTGTAGGTAAAAGGTCAGCCCCTGGAGAGTTCGGAGCGCGTCCGTCAGCTGCCGGAGGGCTCGCTGCAGATCGCGGGCGTGGCGCGCGAGGACGCCGGCGAGTACTCCTGCCATGTCGACAACCAGTTCGGCACCGACACCGTCACACACACGCTCTCCGTACTCGGTAACTATCTCACTCAATTCTTTCTTTTTCTAGAATTTTCTCAAATTTTATAGAAAATTCTCCGTCTAGTTACCATAAATACTTGAGATTCCTCATATTACGTACATTAAATAATGTGTGTGTTCCAGCGCCACCTTTCCCCCCTCAGCTGAGCATCGCGTCGTCGTCCGTGTCTTCTCTGACGCTGCGCCTCAAACCCTCGCTAGAGGCCGAGCAGTCTCCCGCCGCCGGATACACCATACACTACAAACAGGAATTCGGCGACTGGGAAACTGTACAGGTATCAATATTTTATATTATTGATAATGCAGAATCCATTCATATGAACATAATTACTTTAAACATGATTGTTTCCACAGATTCCTAGCAACACTGATACGTATACTTTGGAAAACTTGTTCTGCGGATCCAGATATCAGCTTTACGTCACTGCTTACAATGGGTAACATTGTCAGACCTTTTAAATGAAACTTTTTGCTTTGATTTATCACCTTCGAGGTTAAATAAAATGCATTCGCTACGAAGCGATTCCATGATTACCTTCAAAAATGTATAGAACTGACAATAACTTTCGATAAGTCACGTGATTTTCGCGCGTCTGTTTCTGTGGAATCGCTTCAGAGCGAATGCACTTTGTCTAGACCCGCAGTTAGGTTAAATAAAATCTCCTAATGTATTATTTCAGTATCGGTACTGGCGAGGCATCGGACGTAGTGATCGCCCGCACACGGGGCTCTAAGCCGCCAGTGCCGCGCGCCGCTGACTTCATCGAGGTGGGCAGCTCCTCCGTCACTCTGCATCTCAAGCAATGGCTGGACGGCGGCTGCCCCATGAGCCACTTCGTCGTCGAGAACAAGAAGAAGTAAGAACAATATAATACTCTTAGACTCGAACGTGGGTTTGCTTAGAACTAAAGTTTATCGATTGTTCCACTTTGACATTTAACTTCTTGTGTGGTGGAAAAATATGCCATTTTCTTCCATGTAAGTTTAGATAGTAAAGTTTTCTTCGATAAAATCTTATACATTCTTACGTTGTTTTCTAAACTTTTGTGAGTATTTGTAGATAAGCTGTATTATGTTAGTATTAACTTTAATATTGTGATGTACAGGGGAGCCGCTGAATGGAACCAAATCTCCAACGCCGTGAAACCCGGAGGCAATTTCGTTGTACTCGGTACGTTACCACTTTGAACACATGTTACTTATTATTAAACAAGTTTTTAATGAGCATCTTTTGACAGACCTGGAACCCGCTACCTGGTATGTACTGAGGATCACAGCACACAACAACGCCGGATTCAACGTCGCTGAGTACGAATTCGCTACTCTCACCATGACTGGAGGTACGTTTGTTTATACTTATCATTTTATAAGCCCCATATATTTGTCGCTGATTTAAAATTTATATGTATTTCCTGATATAGTGACGGTATTTCTCCCAAACGGCCTTTGTCAACCAACACCGTCACCGTCACGTCAACGACAACGATATTTGTTCGTTTTTATTAATTCATTGATAATTGATATACGAAAAAATTCCACCGAGATCGTCGCTATGAACAAATGACCTCCGTCAAGTCATTTTAATCTCGGAAAGATATTATCTCGTGACGGTGTTGTTGGACAAACGGCTTATTGCTATAATCGATCGTAAAAAAACCAGTACCTGAAATGCAGTGCCTTTTTTGTTCCATAATAGTTGTAGTAATAAGGGCTTGCATTTCAGGTACAATCGCCCCCGCGCGCGACGTCAACGACGGCAACCTCACCACGGAACAGACCATCAAGATCATCCTGTCGCATCTGAATCTTATCGTGCCCGTGGTGGCGGCCATCCTCGTCATTATCATAGCCATCGTTGTCGTGTGCGTGGTGCGCGGCGCCAGGGACCACCATCACAAAGGTATCACATTGTAGGCACCATCGCCCCCCTCCCCGGCAACGCCGGCGACAAGGACCTGCCCCCCTGGGTCAGAGCCTGGCTCGAACCTGAAGTCCTCGTGCCCATACTTGCCACCATCGTGGTCTTCATCGTCGGCGTTGTGGTGATCTGCCTCACCCTCGCCCGGAGGAACACTCCTCACCGCCTGCGAGGTCAGAAGGACGCATACTGTATGTATGGTGGCATGGACACCGCTTTATTTCCTTATTTATTCACTAGCTCATCCATTTATTAACACGTTCCCTGCCGCTTGTCTGGTCACTTCACTTTCAAACGACAAAAACTTACTGGCAGGGTATGTGTTAAGTGTTTTTATCATCCTCAAAACAAATAATAGTCAAAAATTTTATTTTCTCTTTAATCTGGACAATAAATTTAACTTTTTTCATCTTGTAACATTTCATATTTACGCTATAATTTGCGAAATCATATGTTTAAATGTGTATACTGTGTAGTTATAACAGAGCTTGAAGATTTTTAACTTTATATATCAGTAAATTAGAGGTCATATTTAATAAAAGTAGCTATTGATAAAAACATAATCTATTTGTTATTTTGATGCTTTCTAGACAAATGTAACCATTTTATTTCTGTATGAATACGTAACATTTTTGCCACAATTTGCTATTTAATACGCTAAATTATGTTAAATATGCTCTATAGTAGCTAAAAAATATTTACTGTTTTTCTTATACTTAACAAATTTTTCATAATTTTACTTTGATGTGACATTATTTGCGATATCCAGAAGTATGTTTTTTACCGGTTTTGTGAGCATAACGAAGTGTTTTAAGGTAGGCTAAATGTGTGTTTCCTTCTTTGTCACACACCATTCTCTTTTTACTATAACATCAATTATGAGTAATAAATGTTCCATTAGAATATTACCTTTCACCTTCACAGAAACCGCATCATTACTACATGTGAAAATTATATCTGTGATTATTAAATCGGTGATGGGCTATATGATATATTTATCATCATCATCATCATCATCACGATCGTGTTACAGATGACGCAGTGTACAACGCATCGCAAGCAGCGCTGGGCGGCGGCGCGGGCACACTGGACAAGCGCGGCGGACTGCGCGACGAGCTGGGCTACATCGCGCCCCCCAACAGGAAGCTGCCCCCCGTGCCGGGATCCAACTACAACACATGCGACCGGGTCAAACGTCAGGCTGTCATCAGTCAGTACCGCATATATTTAAACTCTACTAAGGATTACATCAAATACTTTTTTTTACCTTTGTTGAAGGCAAAGAAATTATTTAGCATAAGTCAATTTTTAAATAAGATAATATTTGGATGAAGTTACATCATTTAGTTTCACGTTTGTTATAAATTTATATTACTATTTATACTTCGTAACTTCAAGTGTTCCAATAATGTGTCCACTATTTCTCGAACAATTCATTACACGCGGTTTTTTTTACAAACCAACAATAGTAAGTACAAAAATATATAATATGCAGTGTTTTAGGAGTTTGAATTAATCGACAAACGTTTTCGTGAAGATTTAATATTGTAATAGTTAGTTGTTTTAAAGACAAACGTTTGTTGATTTTTATAAACTAATTTACATATAGATTTATTCAAAATATTCCTCTAGTTACGATGGCACGAGCTTTATCTACTTTTATTATTATTATTTGCGTCCTGTTCATATTTTTATTGTGGTGATTGTTATTTTATAAAATTTTCCGTTCTCTATTTTTATTTATATTGGTTGCGGTTAGATTTACAGCCATGATTAAATTAATTCAACACAATTTAATCATGGATTAAATGTTCAGATACGTTTCTATTTTTGGCTACATAGAGTAACACTAATTTATACCCTTATACCTTTATTACAATTTTGCTTATGTACAATTTATTTTAAACCCATTGGATGACATGGTTAATCAGGTAGATAGTTATTTATCCTACCCGTTTAGTTATTAAGTTAGCAACTGCTTATACGGCTATACTATCTCACGAGCGAACTACAACATAACTAAAAGAATTTAAAAAGATACAGTCGAATTGATAACCTCGTTCTTTTTGAAGTATGGTAAAAAACGAACTTGTTCAGAAAAAAACTGTGATTGAAGCTAGCCTTCAATCGTATGGTAACTGAACGTTTAGAAAATAAAAGTCGACTGTAAACGTGTGATAGTATAGTTGTGCGCGCATGTGAGGCACGCGGTGTAAACGAGTAGTGTGCGGGCACAGTGGGCGCGCACTCCACGTGGGACCCGCGCAGGCACCACTACGAGCGCGTGCGCAGACCGCGCCTCCGCCGCACCGGATCTGGCGACACCATCTCTACAGGTACACGGACAAACAGACATGCATACATGGATAACGATACTAAGGGAACACAACCTTCAGTCGAAAACTCTACAAGTGGCTACTGCCAAAGATTGTTGATTCATTTATTTGACCAGATTGAAATGTTAAGCATTTCCATACTTTACAGAAACTGCGATAATTCAGATTAACACATAACGTTTACTAAATCGCCTTTACAATTATTTTTATACAATATTTGATATCCATGTATGGATGCTGCAAATCCTACATGGATGATCCAAGGTATTCTAGATTGATCACACGTGAACATTAACTATCTATCTTTATATACATTTTAAAATATACATTTAGGTATGTAAAATGATTTTATAGATAAATTAAACTTTGTGATCAATCTGAATGTCCTAAATAAGCAATGAAGCAAAGCAGATACTAACAGAGTGGTGTGCTACTAACATAAGTATGGTAAGTTATGTGTTACATATGTATAAATAAATAATAATATATGGAAATATATTGCATGTAATAATTTTAAAGTAACACTAGTAAAAGTGGATGGTTTGTTTTTTGCATGGCCTTTTCTATCCCAGGTAGCTTTTACGTACACTTATTACTAACATAATTTATGTTAAATTTATATTTTTAAACAATACTTAATTAAATATTAATATATTTATCGTTTTACAATACTCTACTTTTAAAGGTATATATTTATAAATGTTCCTTAAAATATCAAATTCATGTTTCATGTATATTATAAGGACGACGAAATATTGAAGTTTTTTTATTATTTTATTTATGGAAATTGTGACTTATGTATACGTGTGGATTTTATATCAATTGTATATTAATTACAATGATAGAAGTCAATTTATGCTAATTTTACACAGGAATAATATAGACACGTAATATAATATTGCTAGTGTATTTACGTGTTTTAATTCGAAATAAAAATTGGTAGCACGTTCATTTGTCTATTAAAGTGAAAGCATGAAGGAATTGTTTGAAGTGTTGTGTGTACAATTATAACGAAAATGCACAATTTTCATATCCAGATTGTCATAACTTGTGTTATATAATCAATGCAAAAAAAAAACTATGAATGTATTCACTTTTATTAACGAAATATCTGTCGCATTCAGAGTTAAGTGGTCTACAATCAGTTACCAATTAAGGACTGTGAGTGCGGCAGTAATCCAAGAATTAAACAATAAACTAAATAATTACTAAACTTGCAGGTATGGAAGACGAGATCTGCCCCTACGCAACGTTCCACCTGCTAGGCTTTCGCGAGGAGATGGACCCGAGCAAGGCGCTGGCGTTCCCGCACCACCACCCCGGCCACCCCGCGCACCCCGCACACGCCGCACACACCCCGCACGCCGGCACCCTGGCGCACCCCCACCCGCACCACCCCGCACACTCGCGCGCTGGATCTCAGAGCATGGTCAGTATCATATTCAGCTTTAAGTGACGTAACAGAGCCGCTTGATGTTAGTTTCACACGGGGACAGAAGACTGATGTGTGAGTAAGTTCTTCTAAGCTAAGCTAAGTTACACACATTTACGAGTGACAGTAACTGCTGTCTTGTTAAATCTTTAACATATTAATTTTTAAACTCAATCATTTTTTGTTGTAATTCTAAATATTATATGACTTCCAGCCCCGTGCCAACAGCCGCTACGCTCGCAAGAACTCTCAGGGCGGACAGAGCGCTATCTACTCCACGGCTCCTGAGTACGACGACCCCGCTACCTGCGCTGAAGAGGACCAATACGTAACAACCTTACATATCTCACATTTCCTTGCCACAGTTAGCTTGTATCATAGGTCAATGACTATTAAGTCGTGTTGACAATAAAAAAGAATTTGTATGCTGAAAAAATTCAATATAATAATAATCAAATAATTTGCTAAAACTGCTTATAATGTCCAGCGCGCCCGCTACTCTCGCCCGATGTACGCCTGCGGCCCTGAATATGACGAGCCTGCTTGCTGCCAGCCTGAAGACGAACAGTACACCGGCGCTTACGGCACACCCTACTCCGACCACTACGGCTCCCGACCCAGCATTGGTAAGGGAAACGACTCTCCTCCCCTTCCCTACCCATGTACCTGATTTTTCACCTCAAATTATGATACACAATTTGCCACACTCAACATACATTTGTTCCTATCTTTTCAAAAGGAATGGACGCTTGCATTCCTACTTAATCTTTAAAAAAACTCAACAGACTGTAACACTTCTAAATCTTCTCTTGTTCTTGTAAGTGTTTAGTCGAGGAGTAAGACACCACACTACAATGTAACATATCGTACGTGCAAAGCTTATATTTAATATCTGTTAAATGTGTATAGGAACTCGCAAATGCGGCAGCTCCCCCGAGCCTCCCCCACCCCCACCCCGCAACGCCAACACCGACAACAACTGCTCCTCCTCCTTCAACGAGAGCAAGGACTCCAACGAGATCTCCGAGGCCGAGTGCGACCAGCCCCGCAACTACCCTGGTACGTTACACCCTCCCCACCAGGACCACGGCGCAGGATCACAAACACAAACACAAGTGGTCCTTTACAAACTCGAATAACCTTGAATAATAATACATCTTAAATTTTCCTATAAAATTAATGATATTGAGTGGAATACTAAGTGTGGTTCTTATATTTATAGTAATTAACCAATTTTAATGAAATGTAAAATGTTTAAAAATTCATCTACTCATGGTTATTGAAAGGTGACGAAGAAAATTTGTTTTTTTATATAAAATTAATATAAAAATTGGTCCATGCCATGCGCTCTTGGGCGTCGCCTGAACAGAAGACGGTAAAAAGATTTTGACTCAATTTAGTTCTTGATTGTTTCTAATTATTGTGACTGACAGCATGCAACATTTGTTTCAGTAATAACAAATCGAAAATGTTACCAGCTTATAGAATTTCTTGCAATTGGCTTAACTTACTTTTTTTCAAAATTTTTCCTTCATTACTTATATGTATTTTTACATTTATCACTTAGCAAAGCGTTAAAATTTATTTCTTTTTTAAATATTTAAACTAAAAAAAACCTGTAATCATTTCCAATAAATTAAAAATTACTTTTGCCAAGTGATAATGTAAATAATTGAAAAATTTTATCTTTTCATCGAATCTTTCACAAAATTTTTGGCTTAGACGTGAACGTGTTAACATCTATTTGAAATGGTTCTGTAGATTTAGTACGTGTTTTAGATATATTCGGACAACACTCAAGGTAGACAAATAGTTTTATGTAGACTGAATGTTTCCAAATGTTATGTTTGGGTGTTGTTCGAAATATCAAAGTAGCGGGCAGGTATATCCGGGCGAGGTGTCTAGTGTAGAGCGCGTCGTGACTTGTATGTTGTTGCAGTCAGGGCCCACACTGCCAAGGACGGCTTGCACAGCGAGGAAATGAGAAAACTCATTGACAGGTCAGTTTGTCCAGGCCTTTACACTCCCACACTACTCGTACCAACACTAGACTAACTATTTTATACTCTGTGATGCTCTTAGTTATGGTTAACGAATTTTATAACAGCAACATTTAGCAACACACATTTTAACTGAAAACACTTTTTCGTCTTTTAAATAATTAAGGTAAAAAAGGAGGGTTACAAATATATTTTTTTAAAATATAATATATAGTTGGAATGTTTTCCTAGTCTTATTGTAGTATGAACTTAGATAATATACAAAATTCAATTGTGATTTATAATGAAACGTTTTAATTAAAGGAAAGAGTACATAATATTGACTGTAACTAAACTTTGAATTGCACCGATGACAATGAACACATTTTTGCACACAAACTAACTATTGTAGCCGACTCCTTGTGTGTGAGCCGGATAGTTCTAGTTTAAATTGTATTAATATTTTGTGTATGTAAATACATACGCGTATTAAGCATGTGTATATGTTCTGCATCCGTCGTCCACAGGAAACAGTAAGTCAATGTATGTCAACAGAAAATAATTATTCGCCTGAATGTTCATTGTTTTTGCCTGAATCATTTTTATATTTGTTATAATTTTGTGGCTAACCACCTCTCACCCATACTTTGTGCACCCAAATCCGTTTCTTTTGCTAACCAATTTTAAACTCCACGTTACAAAATTGTGCTACTTACCCTTATTTTGAAACTGTGTAATCAATATAATCATTTTCATTAGAATTTAATTCAGCAAATAAATGCTTTTTATTTAAAGTCTTTGCCATTTAGTTAAAACCTTGTATAAAATAAAAAATATATACATATCCCAATACAATATTTAATAAAAAAATATATATATTTAGAATTTCATTTATCAACATTATAGCATTCACATTAAAATAAAAAAATGCTGTAAAATATTTTATCAATACGAAAATGAAAAAGAAAGTAGCTTCAGATTTCAACAAACTTTTTCGATTGTTTTAATTTGTTTTTAATAATATTTCCAGACCAGAAGCAAACACCCCAATCCCCCAGCAAGCAGTCCACGGGCGGGGGGGACTCACAGCCTACGATACTGTGGCAGTGTAACCTGTAAACCTGCGCTAAAATTTACTGCCTACTCAACGCGACACATATTGCAATTAATTTAACCAAATCATTAACACCATCTCTCTACTACGCATTTCTACAGCTTCCAAATTTGTTAAAGCGATTTTTTTTATCAGCCCATGATCTGTACGCTTAACTATCTAATTTGCAATCGTTGTTAGCGAGATGGTGATTTTGACACTTAATTTTTTTTAGTCTCCCGAATACGTGTGTCGCACAGTTTCTTTTCATTCGTTTTAAATTTATCCCAACTTAGTTGCTGGATTATTTCTACACTTCGTTGTGGCACTTTTGTGCCATATTCAAGTTGATTCTCATTGCGACATCGACTATATTGGAGATTTGGCAAAGTTGGGCGGCATATCCTGTAGCCAACTTAATTGGAGTGTTTCGTCACTTTGCGCGTAGTGTTACCATACAAAAACGGAATTATGGTTGTGGTAGTTATTTCAAATTGATATATTCCCTTTAGAAAAAAGTGACGTCTTCCCAAAAAAATTTGCGCGCCTCCCAACTTTGCTACATTCAGTTGTCTACAAATTAAGTCATTTTTTTTATTTCGACTAACTTTTGTCTTATTTGTTCAGCTTAATTTAAAACTTTAACGAAGCTGGAGTTTGGGGTGGTTTTAAGTTTCGATTTAAATTAAGCTCAACACGTAATTAATGTGATATTTTGTATTTTTTACCCATTTTATTTTTTAATTGAAGTGGACTAACACAAACAATATTTATAATTATGTACTCGTAGTTTGTAATGATACCCGGCGACCTCGAGTCGTCTTGATGCTTCCTTTTTGCTGTTATATTTTTCGTAATGCTTTTACCATTTACGTTATCGCCATGTCCTACATGATTTTTAAACGTTTTTTTTTATGTTTTTACGTCAATATTACGTACACTACTTTATTAAGAATTAGAGTTAAGTAATTTACTAATCATAATTAATCAATTCTTTAAATAAAGTACTATGTAATCTGTAGTTAACGACTTAAGTGACATGTTACTCATTATAACAATAAATTACTAAAGGATAAATACGATAGGCAACAGGCAACTTATACTCAAAATGCAATTGGTACCCAAAACTAACTGATATGAAATTATTCAAACATTTTACTCAACATTATTATAAATTAAGGTGCATTTTTTCTATAATTATAATCTTCTCTTTCTATATTATATGCAAATAAATTAGGTATAAGACACGGGCGTGTCATTTTCTAGTTTTACCTTATGTGTTGTGCTTTGTGTAAGCTTGGCAACGTAGTATAGATAGGTTCCCCATACTTACTACTCAACTTCTATCCAAACTTCCATTTAGATATTTCGGATAAATTGAAAAGGATAGTTAAAAATTAATAATTCTATTCAAAATTATAATATTAGCTGTTCGATCGTTAAATTAAGGTAAAATGATATCAGCGTAAACTTTTTGATGGGATTGATTTCAATAATTATTGCATTTCACCAGCAGCTGTTCTAAGTTCATCAATTTAACAAAATGTTTGCGATTAGACATTGCTTGCGCAACTAACTGTTTGTACCAAAGTGTTTGATTTGTGTTAAATAAAGTATTCTTACGTCGACTACAAATTAGTCTTTCATTTATTACCCTAAATATCTCTAAAATTAGGTCAGAAAAATACGCTTTATAAGTCAAGGGTTCAATTCCCAATGATGCCGGAATATCTTTGTATGAAAAGTTCAAATTTAGTTTTGAAACTCTAAAAGGAGGATCATGAGTGTAGCATTCGTTGTGCTATATTTGGCTCGTTCACGTACCGACACGTGTTGCCGGCTCAAAGGTCTGACATCGACTGACGTCCCCTTTCTCCGGCATGTACTTATGGCGTGTACGCTCGAGACAAACAACACTACGTTTATGCATACACTACAATGAGTAAGCAAAGAATATTATAAGACCTCTTTCCTAATAGTTCCTCCTTGGAGGCAATGTTTTCGTACCTATTCATTTTGTTCTATATGTATGCCAAATTTCATCGAGATCCATTCAGCCGTTCTAAATTTACTTTTGAACAAACATCCATCCATCAAAACATTCTCATCTGTAATATTAGTAAGAAGTACAAAGTAAGATTTATCAAATGGGAAATTGGTAAGATAACAACAATAAAGACTACGGAATTTGATGTTTATTTACGGTTTAACATTAAATAGTTTAGCACTAGCATTGACAACTGAAGGTTACATTTATGCGGTAGCAGCTTTAACCACTTCCTCTGCAACTTCTACGGCAATTAAAGCTTCAGCCTTTGCCTGGGAAATAAACATCTATTATTAAAAATAAATTAACTAATAACTATTAAATTATTCAAACTTTCGTGTGACATTATACTAAACTGATATATAAACACGGCTAAACACTCACGTATATACGTCCGGTGGCGGCACCGACTAGTTTCGAGCCCATCGGGGGCCCTTCATCAGGATGAGTGGCACTGGTATTATTTCGCGGACGCGGCCTGGCGGCCCGGCGTATATACGTGAGTGTTTAGCCGTGTTTATATATCAGTTTAACTAATAACTGTTCAAACATTTACGTGGTCATTCTTTTATTTACTTGAAATCTTTGTTAAAAGCATTACAATTTTATTTTTTCTGGTAAAGTATGAATGAAAAATATTTCGCAATTAAAAGTAAGTCAAATTAATGAAATATCAAAGCAGATTCTAAATAAATTTTAAGCAATCCAATGAACCAATTTATTAAAAAGTATGTCCGAATGGTCAGATGGACCTAAGGATCAATTAATCACAAAGATGAGTATATGGTGATGAACAATTAAGTCAACACTTGAACGTGATTGCCGGACACCTGATACAAACTAAATAATTTTATTACCTTTTCATTAGCAGCAGAATTTAGTTCAGACTGGGCTTTGCTAAGAGCCTCCTGCGCGGCGCTGCGGTCCAGACTCTCTAATGGGTGAGCTTCCTCAGCCAGTACCTGGACAAAGACAACTTTTTATTATAGTATAATTTAGGATTTAACAGTTAGCAGGTAGTATTTACGTTAGCCGCTCCCTTTATTGTAATACAATTGTTGCAATTTCAACCGTAACAATAATGAACTCTAAATAGCAATAAATTGGACTTATTAATAAAGATATTTCAACTAACATATGATATCAATTTCTGTGTTTAACTTACTTGAACTGAGGAGTCATCATTGACAGTGATTGTGCCCGAAGATACAAATATTTTAGTTTGCTTGCCATCATTCTCCACAACAGTGACAACACCGGGCCTCAGAACAGCTGCAAAATACATTAAACATCAATAAATTATTGTAATATTTGACTAAATATACATACATATATTCTGGATCTAGTTTATCCACTTAGACATGTCTAATGTTCATAGAATAATTTATTTCAATTATTGTAAATGATCTGAGAAAGTTTAATCATAACAATGCTTACCAAGTGTAGGTACATGTTTGGGCAAAATACCAAAAGATCCGCTGAAGGATGGCACATCAATCTGTTTGACTACTTTTTTGTCGTAGAAGACCTGCAAATAGTTATTATGTTAAAACAAAACCCACACCCCTATCAGGGGAAGACAAAGATTACAGTTTTCCATTGCCCTGGTATGCACCATAGAACTGAAACTATAAGCAAATACTATTTTATTATTTTAGTCTTAAGAGTAATTCTGTAACCCCAATGAATGTAATTTAAATAAAAACAAAAAATCTTTAATTGATGCATTTAAACCCCATAAAAGTAATGAATGTAAATCTATAAAGGCTGTAAATCAGTTCAAAAACAGGATAGAATCAAAAACTTACCTTATTGCCAGCAGCAAATGTCAAAGCCATTTCATCTCCCTTGGGAGCATCAGCATAACCTCGAACTTGCATCCTTCTTGCTGCAGTTCTGAGCATATTGCGGAATGCCAGCGCCATTCTGAAGAAATATTGATTAAGCATTGATATAAAAATACATAATAGGTTTTTCTGGTAAAGTAAGAAAACATTTATTGCTCCACCAAGAAAAAAAATTAAAGAAAATTTATTAAATAGAATTTTGATTTTCTAAAGTACCTTATTTTAAATCTCAAATATAGCAGAAATTTTACTTATCAAAAATGGAACACTGAATTTTTACACACAAGACAAACCCTACAATTATCTGGAAAATATAATGGTAACGATTAGATTATGTCTTACTCTCTATTAAAGCTGCAGCACTATGATTTATAACCTCATCTCCATTGATAAAAAGATGATTTACCATAGAACTAAACTACCGCATATCAATGTGCAGAAATAATTTGTATATATAACAGACCAATAATTATTTATATCATATTTTATCTTAATACTTATAATTAGAACTAACAAAATAAAATAAAATACGGCAGAACAGTAAGAGATTATGTAATACAAAACAAAAACTAAGAAACTTAATGTGTATATTATATCAATACAGTTTATTACACATTTATATATTTTAACGTGTTACTTACTTGGTTCAGTGTAAGTTTAACAAATGCGAATATTAATTTTTTTTTAAGCCAAACCTAAATTTTATTTTAGGCAAGATCTTATTGGCTTCTAAATGTCATATGTCACCAAAAATCACAGACAATTTTTGAGTGAAAAGTTGCCCGTGACCCGCTGTGAACATTACTTTGTGCCATTTGTGGTCATTTCTAATTTGGGCTAAATATTTCCAATTGTATTCGAACTCTATTTACCTACTGTAATAAGTTGAATTTGGATGAATAAAGCAAGAAAAGTATAAATCAAACGTTGTAAGTAATAAAAGTCAAAGAGATATTTTTTGATGTTGGTTGGTCTGGCCTTGGTAGTGTTTGTTACATACTCTTTACTGAAAAGCAAAAGTCAATTGTCTATACTTGTCTTGTTTTTGTCAATTGTCAAATTAATAAAATTGTTTTTCGCGGCAAAAATGATATTAAAGGATTTCAATATTAATTTGCTAACAAAGCTTTTAACACAACAACTTGAACAAGTAACCTGTTTTGGATGGTAAATAGTCTTAAGATGCAGCTCACTTTTAAAATGATATAGTGCAAAACAATATTCATCCACTATCGATCGTTACACTCAGGCAAAAAGTATCTGATTTTCCATTTCCATCCTCTTCATGTTATTTCAACATATCCCTCCACTCATTTATTTAAATATTGCCTGTGTGTCTATACTTATTTATACTGTATCAAATCATACCATCTTCTTTGAATTGGTAACCATGTTATTTTTGGTGTAGATATATGTGTTACTATGTAACCGTAGTAATGCTTATACTTACAGCTGTAGATGTTATTCTGCTCCTGTGACTGCAGCGTGCGGTCATACGCTGTGCAATGGATGTTGGTATGGAAGAGCAAACTGTCCTGTATGTGCTCTAACAGTGGAAAAGAAGAATCAAAAGTTAAATCTCCCCTTACAAAGTCTTACTGACCATGTTTATGCCCTAATAAATAGTTTTGAAAAGTTGTTTAATATTAAATGTAAGTAGCCTTTTTTTCTTGCGATATCTCTATTTTTATAGTCAAACTTGGATAAGCAAAGGTCTTACAGACCATGATAATTTCTGTCGTATATAGAAGCTTCTCACTGACCTAATTTTCTCACTCCACTTTAATTATAATTTTTTGTCCTTAATTCCAATATTAATATTTTGCTTTCTCCAAATTTATCATGTTTAAGTAAATGTTTTATACAGAATACTCAAATTTTTCACTTTCTCATTTTTCCAGTGGCAGAGTTGGAACTTGAAACATCAAGTAAAGAACTGCAAACAACAGATACAAATAAAAATGTTACAGACTGGTTGGAAAATTCTCAAAATAAATTTTCAGCTCCCATCAGTAATCTTTCAACACAAGATTTAAACACACATGTTGAATATTTAACAAGTGAAGCACAAATTCACACATCAAATTGTAAACCAACACATCAACCTAAGAAAGACTCTGTTCAGCATATTCAAGATGATTGGGACAAAATAGAAATACTGGAGGAACCTGAAGACTGTATCAAAGACAAGGAAAATGTACACATTGAAACAATGAATATAGATGAATATGAATACACATCAGAAAATCCACGCAGAAGTACCCGGAAAAAAGAAATAAGTATCAGCAGGGAGCCTCATGAAGTTCAAAATGAAAAGGCCGACTCAACAAAGTCAACCACAGTAATATCAAAACAACCAAATAAAACTAAACAAACATGGAATCATGCTAAGAAAATGAGGCAAGAGTTCAGTAAGCTAAATAAAGAAAATAGAAATAAACTGAATGTATCTATTGAAACAGTTAAGAAAACTCAAGTGTTATGCAGTAAAACAAAGTTAGTAGAGAAACAAAACCTCACCACCAACACAGCTAGAAATAGAAATATTACAGCTATTGAATCTAATAAAGAAACTGAAGAAGAAAAAAACTTGATCACCACAAATATTGTGGATCCGGGCATAATAAATAAAACAAAAAAAAGTATACCCAAAACAAATGAATGTGACTCAACTAAACAAACACCTTCAACTATTCAAAATAAAAATAACACTTCCGTTGATAGTGGTAATCCTTGTGACAATGAAGTTATGTCGCCTAAAGTTAAATTTTTTAAAAAAGGTTCATTACATGTCAGACCAAAGGAGTTTCCTCACATATCTGTGGATAAAGATCACACATATGTTGATAAAGATGAAACAAAAAGATCAGACGATGTAATAATAACCATAAGAGTTGGTAAAGTAATAACAAATGTTTGTATAAAGCAAAATGAAAGTAATCCTCAAGTTAAAATCCATACAGATAAAGAAGTACAAACTTATTTAGGACCTGAAAATATAAGTATGGCTGCATCTGAAAATAAAACACACAATAATATCAAAATTATTGAAGTTGAATCAAAACACACTACATCACAACCAAAAACTCTATCAATCGTGAATGTTGCATCACAGAGTAATAAAGACATTGTTAAATCTGATTCAACAAAGAAGAATACTGCTTCAGCGGAGACAAGAACTGCACAATTTGAAATAACAGCTAGCAGTGAGAAAGAATTACCAGAAATTATGGAATGTTTTACAGATGAAAATAGACAAAAAAATATACAAAGTCAAAGAAAAGATAAGAATAATGAGGGATCCCAAAAGAATATTCGGGAAGATATAGAAGAAATTAATGATTTATTTGATGTTAATTTTTCAAAAACTCCAAATGTTCAATCATTAAAATCATCTAAAAATATCCCTTCAACTATATTAGTTCCAACACAGAACAAATCAAAAACATACACACCAGTGGATAAGAGACTAAGAAACTTGGATTCTGAAGAATTACCTTTAAAGAAGAAACAAAGATTAGATACGCAGAATGTAACAATGCGAGGAGGTTCAAAAGCCAGTTATAATGATAGCGAATTAAGCAACTATGATACCGTTATGGAAAAAGTATTTGCTAACATTGATGCAGATATTGGAATTATTCAAAGTAACAAAACACAAATTTATCCTTCGAATAAAGCAAATTCAATTAAAAATACTCAAGTTGTCTACTCACAAAGTCAAAAAGTTAATAATAACCAAAAGGATAGTGAAAATTTATTTTCTAATTGTGATAATGATGTCATTACTCAAACAAATAAATTAAACATACAAGTAAGTACTTTCAAAAATTAATTTTAACAGTCAAATACTAAAATATTCTTCTATAAATGTTTGACAAGAAAATTCTCATGATAACTAATGTTTTGCAGACAAACCCCACTCGTAATGAACTATTGACACATAATTTGTGTCGAGAATTTACATCACCTGAAGAAGAGAATAGAGAAAATGAGAACATGGATATAGAGTTAGGAACACCTCTAGATGATGGTTCTGATGTCAGCATTGTTGAAGAAACACCACAAAAGTAAGAACTGTTTTTCTGAATTAGCTTTTTTTGTATGTCAATTAATTAATCAGGTGATATATTGGTACTAAATATGTTATGTACAGAATCTACCTGTTTCTTATTTATCTTTTTTCTTCTTCATATAATTGCATCAAAAAGGTCATGAGCTCATGAGTATATCAACTAAGATTAATGAACTTCAGATCAGCTCATGGTTCACATGTGTGTAACAGATCAATAATATAGTTATGATATCCGTGTCAAGTTATGAGTCGCGAATCAGGAGATAGTCAGCACATACCTTGTGATCAGGCGATGAGTTCTCAACATGGTTGTTGAGTTGTAGCTCTATGTGACCTGAACTTTTCTTGATCAGTTTCTGAATCAGTTCAGACTTCACTTACAGAAAAGATTATATTATTTATAAATTAAAATGATTGTTTTCTATTTTACAGAAATGTTTCCAACATAAAAGTGAAACAAAAATCGGGAATATCTTCTAATTTCGACAATGATATAAGTGAACAATCAGATGTGAGAAATCTTAATTTAAAAGCAACTATAAAAAATAATATCTCATGTAATAGTTTAAATGAAACACTTAAAAAGAATCAAGAGAATACTGATATAAAGAAAGTGAAGAATTCCATCATAACACCATCTACAATAAACAAATTTGTGGAACAAATACAACATAAGTCAACTCCAGTTGCAAGAAAATCACTTAATTTTAACATGAAAAATATTAAACAAGACGCAGAAGAAACATTATGTAAAAGTTCATTTACAGAAGTAGAAACAACTCAGGAGAAAGAGTTTATGAATGAAGTATTTGAAGCTTTCAGTTCACCGGAATTTAAGTCTAACGTTGTACTGCGTGAGAAGAATCGTAAGGTCGAATTTTGCGTGGCAGGATCATGCTTGATGCCAAAACAAACTATCAAATTACGACAACTGTGTAGAGATAAAGGTTGGCGCTTTGTAGAGGAATATACAGATGATGTAACACATTTAGTTATTGAAGTTGATGAAGAAAATAAATGTAAAAGGTATGATATAGTACTTCATCATCGTCATCATCACCAACTCAATATACATCACCATTGAGAGGATCGGAGCCTAACTTTTTTAGGGGTGACTAGGCCATACTCAACCACGCTAGCCCAGTATTGGTTGACATCACATATATATTTGAATTTCTATTCCGATTTTCTTCACCGTAAGAACTTTGGATAAATAAAAAAGACATTGGTATATGGCGAAATTCGAACCTGCGACGTGCATATTACAAGTCAAGTGTTAAACCACTGAGCCATTAAAGCTCACTTTAGATTACTTTGTTCCAAAGGAAATTTTTCTGTGGTATTGAATGGTTTTAAATAATTAAAAATAAACATATATATTTACAGATCACTGAAATACATGCGAGCTCTCGCAGCAGGGAAATGGATAATCGGGTTTGCATGGGTAGAGAAATGTATACAAACTGGAACTATTATCTCTGAGGTTAGTACTACTTTACAACACTTAATACTTAATATAATTTATTTAATCTAAACCTGTTATCCAAATTCGTATAAATTAAATGAATTTCATACAAACTTATACATTCCTAATGAATATTCTAAGTGATTTTAATTTAACATTTTTAAGATGTTCTAAAGACTTATTTTTTATTTTTTTTTTAACTGCACTCAGAGTTTGCCATTATTTTCATAATTTAAATAACTTGCACTAGGTAAGAACAAATATGCGGCCAACCTTCAAGATTAAAGAGGCTCTGGAAGAAGAGGCTAGTAAATAAAAAAGTTGCCTTTGACATTACAGGAGGGTTTTGAATGCCTGGACATGACAGGCGAGCCTGGACCGCGGCGGTCGCGACTGGCAAAGCGCAAGTTGTTCTCAGACATCGCCTTCTTCTGCATGCCGCCCATCAACATGCTGGATCATGATATGTTGAAGGTATATTGTGAAAAAAAAACTAATTTGGTATAAACTCAAAATCAATTATTTCCAATGTGTAACATGATTTAAACCATTATATACTAAAATATGCTTAGTCTTATGATGTAACTAGTTACTCCCCGACTTGGTCCACACTATGTTAAAAACATAGTAATTTGGCTATGTTCCAGACTATGTTCTATATGTATGCCAAATTTCATCGAGATCCACTGAACCATTCTGGTGATACCTTCTAATAAACAACCATACATACATCGATCGAGTCAAATGGAAATCCTTGAACTCTGCCTACATCTGTAACCGTTGGTTTCTGAGGCCTAAATCTATATAATGTATAAAATATATCTTAGTCTCAGGAACTTACGGTAAGACACATGAGATTTGTCGTATATCCACAAAGTATGAAATAAAAGCATATTTTTATGTTACAGGAGATTTTAATAAGTGCTGGAGGTACAATAGTGGAAGAGATGAGCGAGGTGCGCGTGGCGGACGGAGCGCCCGGCCTCGTGTTAGCGGAGCCCGACCACACGCAGGACTCCAAGTATGAATGTAAGTCAAACAAAATATAAAACACATGGAACTGCCTCAAACCACTAAAACTACACTAATACCGAAATCTAAGTTTAAAATATATTGTTATCTCAGTTTTGTCAAAGAGAAATGACAGGGATGGTCGTATGTTTTATACAGAGATTTTGGTCTCAGAAATCCACGGTTAATTTTATGAACTACTAGCTGTTGCAAGAGACTACATACACATTGAATTAAAAAAAAAACTTAGTAAGCCTATGTGTTCTTCTAGATTATGTTCTACAACCAAACAAACATCCATCCATCCATACCTCCAAACTTTCACATTAATAATATTAGTAAGATTCATACTGTGAAATTTCTAAATCCATGTTCGCCTTTGTTTTATTTTGCCTAAAACGCGATTAATTTTTTTTTCGATCATTTCAGACATGGCGATGGACCTGGGCATAGTGCCAGTACATTGCGAGTGGGCGCTGAATTGCCTCGGGCACTACGCGCTCGCGCCTCTCGAGGTGCCTCTGCTGCTCTGCTCGCCTACAGTCCTCAAGCCTAAAGTCCAGCACTGGCCACATGAACTAAGGGCACTTATAGAATAGTATAGTTCATTTCAAATATCTTACCAGCTCGGGATACTGCGTGAATAGCTGTGTAGAACACAATTTTATGTGTAGCAAAACCCGGAGGGATGACCTTGAGCCGTCAAGATATTTGAAAAGTATACATATGTAATCGCCCTTGTTATTTTTACCTTATTATATTTGAAACAACATCTTTTTGTCATCTGTGTTAAATTAATCATTGAAAATTATTATTTTTTTACATTATGAGAAGTTTCGAATATTTTTTTTACTTTTAAACAAATTTATGCTTTTTCACATGATACAACACATGTAAAATAAAGTTACAATTTTAAATATTTTTATGTAAATTTTCTTACTCATAGTAGGTTAAATGGTTACGTGAGTCTGAGTGTGGAAGTTTAATCAATATATTAACTACTTGAATATATGTGAAAGAAAAATATAAATCGAACACTGTTAATAGTAAAACAATAATTTGTTAACTTGTAATATACTATTTAAATATATTGACATTCAAAATAATAAAATGTTGTTTCAATAAACAATGTAACTAGCTGTCGCCAGCGATTCTGTCTGCGCGGAATTGAAAAAAAAAGAATTCTTTTAGACTATGTTCTACATCTATGCCAAATGTCATCGATCCAATACAGACTTTCTGAAAATACCTTCTAACATCTATCCATCCATACATTTAAACATTCGCATTTATAATATTAGTAAGAAGATAGATAAAAAACAATGAAAATGGATTCAGAGTTTTGTGTACTGAAGAGGTTTGTGTTATTACTTTAGCGTTTTAATTTCCTCATGACCAAATAAGGACATATTATTTTAATCCTATAACTGATAAATAGAATCGACAAGTAATTTTATACTTCTGCTTCCTATTTTGATATCTATATATTGGAATTATATCATGACGTAATTAGATTAACTAAAATGTTTCTCCATTTTAACACTACCGTATTACTTCCTAACCGTGGGATTTCAGCGCGGAAAAATATGACACAAAACTGGTGTATATTTTCAAAGAGAAATTTTGTCAGTAAAACTCAAGTTTAGGATAAAGAAAAAAATGTACTGAACTAGTTTAGAGAAAATAACGTAAGATTGACTTTACTAAAAAAAAAAACAGTTTTTTTGCTACATAAAATTTCGTCGAATTAAGGGTTAATAGCGACAACTGATGCGTATTACGATATACATTTTATGTGCAAGATTGTTCTACAAAAGATCTATGTGAAAAATCTTTATGTGAATACTATAAATATTTAAGTGAGCCTTGCTTCTTTGAGTATTTAGACTGTCTTATAACATATAATTTAAATATATTTAAGTAAAAGATTTTGAAATTAGGCACAAATAGGCATAGAAAATCGATAACCATTTAAATAAAAACTATTACCAAATCAGTTAAAATTTACATGCAGATTTGAAATTATTTGGCGGCCATTAAAAATGTTGCTTAAAAATACTTAAAGGTTCTACGTTTTGAGTATTTTGGCTAAGATTTATAGCTTTTATAGGATGTTTGAACCCACGGGCCTGCCTTTTATTAATTTTTGCCTTGACTTTATCTATAACCTATTAGTAAACGATAAGGCAGATACATAGGTAATATATTAGAAAAAAACCCACGTAATTAACACCATGTGGTAACATTTTCAATCATGTGAGCTTCAGGCATTGATTTGTTTTCATGTAATTTATAAAATTAAAAAAAATTGGAGTGTATGTACCTAATAACGAAAAAATCATATTTCGAAAACATGATGTTACGTTATTATATTTTATAATTTGTTGTTTTATTGTCAGCAAATTCACGTTTGTTCCGGGTAACCTCAAAAACAGCGATACCGATTTTGATGGGATGGTAGCTGATGCATGCAAGCATATCATAGAATATTTTATTAAATTAATTTTACTGATTAAAAAATCACGTGTCCGTAATAATAACTGGCAAATTGATTGGGAGCAGAAATATCTAACTTGTATACACAATGTTTCATCAACCTTCGATCGAAAGCCAAATATTTGTTTACTATGTAAGATATCGAGTTATTTTTGATATATCTTACGTAAGTCAGAACATAGTATATCATAGATTTAGTTTAGTGATAGCTAACTCCTCTTATTACTTTTACGTAAGTTACGCGTACTGAGTACAATTTTTGGTTATTTTAACAAGAACCGAGCGTCGGACTGTACTGACTTCCTTTCCTTTCCTTTTGTATTTAAGTTAATTCAGTAGTTTTTAAGTTATCCATATAACATTTATTTTTAAATAAAACCTGATATACTACTATGTGTTCTAACTATGAACGTACTAAACATTGTTAACAGAGACTTACTAAATTCTTTACGGTTACTAAGATAAACCGGAACTGAAGTAATTATAACAAAGCAATGATAAATCAATGATAATACTCTTGAACAAAATATCATCGAGTGTGATTAATATATCATTAAATGATAATGTATTATTCGTACACGTGACTAGTCGCTCGTGCGGATATGTGATATAACGCTCGCGCAGATACACGTACGATTTATAAAATAATCGAAGACAATGATAATAATCTATACAGTTTTATTTGTGTTAATCGTGTTAATAAGGATTTGCATAATAATTATAAATTATTACATGAAAATAATACGTCATAGGTCAAAATAATGTGAGCATTCCGCTAAATTAATTGCAATTAGCGTTGCCAGGCGTCCGGATAAAGGTAGACTTTTTGATTGCGTGTCAGACCAAAATAAATGGTGACCAGGTTGTCCGGCTTTTGTTAGGCTTTAACATTCTGAGGCAAAATCCTTAATAATTTTGGGTGTCCGGCATTTCTACCCAAATATCCGACCAAACTGGCTGATCTGTCCGGCTATTAGGTTTGGCGACCTGGCAACCCTAATTGTAATCGATTATTTGAACAGATCAAAACTTTCTCTAATTATTTTATTATAGTACTCCTTTACAAGATGGACCGCTGAACAGATATTTACTTGCCAGCACTAACCAGTTCATTCTTACCTTTTACATTTCATGCATTCTCTGGCAAAAAATTAAAAAAAATACTAGTTGGTATTTTGCAAGGTCAAGTCTTCAACATTTGGCGCGATGCCAAATCTTTATTAGATGTTATAAGTGTTTTGAAAACATGCATGTTCGATATTTTGTATTCGAATAGCCATAAAATTAATAGATTAAAAAAAATAATATGTATAAGTTATTTTATTTTATTAACTTTTAATTTTGTAAAGCGTTACCTTGGCTTAGTACTATTGATCGATGGTTATTCAGAAAAGCTGGTCGTTAATAAATATCAGGTGTAGAATGATTAACCTTATTTCCTTTCACCGAAAAGCAAAGGTCGCGCCCTCAGACCAACTTCGTTATACCGTCTGCAAATGAAGCTCTTTCGATCGATACGCTACTGGAGCGTATCGATCGAAAGAGCTTCATTTGCTTTACCTACGTGGAGAAATTATCCACATGTAAAAAACTAATTAAAATCTGTCTTTGTTGGGAGCTCTAAAAAACAATACTTTTTAATAACTAGCAGGTTTAATATTGCAACTAAAGATTCTTGCAACTTTAAAAAAAAGAAAGAAGTTAACCAAATAACTAAATTCTCAGGATAAGAATTCTCGAACGCTGTTTAGAAAGACTTTTTTGGAGGGCAAGTCCGAACTCGCAGTTTAATTATTGTTATTCCAAAATTTATAATGAATGACAATTACTACGATAGAGGCATCTATAAATGTATAGACTACATAAAAAGTTTTTTTTCATCACGTTTTTCAAGTACAATACTGGGTCAAAATAATTGTACTCGTACCGTTAGAAAAGAACGGGACAAGCGCCACGTCTAGCTTGTACCCGTACATTGTCAACGGTCAAGTGAATTTGTCTGTTTAACCGTATATTTCCACTGCCGAAACACTTGTGCAGAAACATATTGATATCTGCCCATTCAATTATAATAAAAGGGATGGAACACTATGTTTAGAAAAGGCTTATGCTGTACTGTTTCCATTTCAAATTTCGTTTCTTTTTATTTTAGCTCTGATGTACATAAATACAACATAAACCTTATCAGACCAACATAAACTTAATTGCAGTGCTTAATTTACCTTAAGGAAATCAAACCTGGAACCTTGGCGGTATCGACCAACTACCAAACCTCTGAACCGAAGTAGACTGATATTCAAACATTTGCACGTCTTCGCCGAACGATCAATGTCCACGTCTGGAAATAAATATTATCGATATTAGTCACTTTTTAATGTAAACACATTTTTAATCTTATCACAACAATTTGATGATACAATATGTCATAATAGAATTTTCCTCAAAGTTAACAAACGTAAAATAGTTTTTTTTAACTATATACGTTCCTTAACTTGTTGATGTACTAAACGATGGCTTCCTATTCTCAAATCTTCTGCTGTTTTAAACTGTCAAATAACCTATACTTTTTACTCTGTTGTTACTACAAAAATACGTCTTAAAAAATCATGATTTAATTAATCGTAAATCTTTGGATCGACATTTTTTCTCCATTATTCTTTATTAATTTAGCATGTATGTTTACAGACAAAGCATTATAACGTGTCGACGAATCCGAAGTTGCACAAACAGCGCACACTATTGTGGCTCCAGTCTTCAGAAGGACAACTCAATGCCGTTGCATTGAAGTACTTTTTATATTATAAACACGTACAATCATTTTGTGCACAAATTTTCCTTAAAATAGACGAGAGTATATTGTTACCAAAAACATCGTGTAATGGTCGCAGCTAGACAAATTGATTGCGTATCCTGACAAAATAAACGAGCTATCCGGCTTTTGACATTTCGCAACTGAGAGTGGCTGAGCGCCTAAATGATCTAGGGAATTTCTCAACAATGTAGCGTGTCCGGCCTTTCTAGCCAAATATCGGGCCAAACTAGGTGGTCTGTCCTAATTGTCTTGTCTATTAGGTTTGGCGACCTGGCAACCCTAAACGCCCCCTGTGAAGATCAAATAACTAACCAAAAAGTACACATAAAACCAATCTAAATCAGAATTACTGCTACTCTGAAATTAATCGTCATTTATACATTTAACCAACGCTATACTCAGTCATAAATGAATATACATATATTACAAATTAAAAAAAAAACGATATTTTTACAATCTACAACTAATTAATTAATTATCAATTGAGCATTTATTATTTTTTACGTAATGCATTTAACTGAATCGGTCACGTGACTTGTAAGTGTAATGACCACAAACATATAAAGACGAGTTAATTTAAATACAATATAACTTATTGTAGCGTTTTAAAAGCACATAATAATAATTTATCCGTTACATAGTATAGTCTGATACAAAACATTGAAATATATTGCATCATTCGTTTTTATTCCTTTTTTGTTCTTGACTATAAAAACTTGTTAATGTCTTTATATTAGATATATACTTTGAGTTTCAAAGGATACCTATCTTTAATGTTTATTGATCTATTTCCTCCACGCCGAAATCCGCAATGTCAGTCTGATATATTTCTAACATATTTTACGGAATATACCTACCTACCCTTATAATGTGTAAAAGTGTGAAGTTTTTGTCTTTATTTCAACATACAAGTTTCGTAATAATATAAATGATTTCTCATAATATGGACTGATTTATTATATGACCTTACCGCATTTGTTTTCGCCGAGTAAAATGGTCGGATCACTACATTGGGTCGTGTATTAGGACGTGTAGCTCAGCTGGAAGCGAGCGCGGCGTGGCGTGTTTCATCGCGCCACCGTGTTGTCCAATCCTTGGGTTCCGTGCGCGGTCGCGCATGCCGCGTCGCGTTGACTCACACTATGACAAAGGAAAAGTTGCCAGCTTTTAGTTATTCACAGTTTATTAAGTAGTTTTTCGCTAGACTAGAAAATAATTTGAAAATATTTTTAATTCTTATTAATAAATCAAAATAGTAGTATATATACCTTGTTTAGACTTTATGCAAATTAGATTAGAGCTGGTGTTGAAAACCGACGTCTTTTAGATGTAAAGATTTAAGACATAATAAAAACATTTAAAACTGTACTTAATCGATTAACAAAGATCAATCAGTCATAATTTCTATCTCTCAGCAACTTGTAGTTTTAATTATTTATTATTATAATATAAATTGCCCCAACCCGCAACGCAGTTGCGTTTATTTTGCGTTTGCGCGCACGCACACTCATACAGGTATTTATTAATTACATACTTATACGATTTTTAATAATTTATTATAAATTACACTTAACAATTTCATTGCTCATATTACAATTATGTGTATTTCTCATATATTTTAATGGACTATTTTTTTATGGACTTTTAACGGTATTTTTGTGGCAACTCTGATTTACGCCGTCATCACGATACTGCTACAGCAGATGAATTGTGACGTGAACACGTGAATAATGGTAATGCCGGGTCAGGGATTATAATATCGTTCGTGATAAAGGTTTATTGATTTTATTTATCATACATATAGTGCAACAATTTTTGAATCTCGAAAATATACGAAAGTGAATGTAAAATCGAACCTGCAAGTGTAATCGGTGTATTAGATTTGGATTACGAAGAAGGTAAGCCTTAAATAATGGTCTTAAAATACAAATAATATCAAAATGCAAGTGTTACAACAAAATAAACAAACGTAGACCTATAAGAAATTCTAATTAGGTAAAATGAATTAGAAATATTAATTGCTTATTGGAAATAATCCAATAATACATTTAATTGCTTAGAATATAAAATTTTATTCGCGTATTCTAAAAAGCTTATCAAAAATTGCATGGTTGTAATAACATGGCATTATATTGAAAAGAAATCAAGACAAAAGCAATTTGGCGACCATATTTTGTTGTAACTTGGATTGCATAATGTGCAATGTAAAAATCGCTTTATGATATTTTCGTTCACATCAACAAAATTTATTTAGGTTAATTAGACATACGTTACAGGAAAATTAAATAAAACGACGTGGTCATGAAAAAACAATCACCTTTCACATTTATTAAATAAATATATATCTTACTAATATGATAATTAAGTATCGTAAATTGGAAAATTGTGACCAAGTAGGTAGCTATGTTATATTTACAATTAAGAAAACAAATTGTAAAGAATTTCTAAACAGGTACATACTATACAGATTGTAACTATTTCTTGATTCATACCTAAGAAAGTTGTAAACAGAGAAACGGTGCACATTTTGTGCTAAAATATGTTAACTGCATTTTTTAATACTAAAATTTAAAGTTTACATTTCAATTGAATTCAAATTCAATTGAATTGAAAAGCTCTAAGTAGAGGATACACGAAATTATGTGTGAATCATTGTCGCGAGTTTAAAATAATATAATAATAATAACAAAAAATGAGTGATGTGTAGTATAAATTTTAACTAAACTTTTCACTGCGTACACGTAAAAAAAAATTTAAATTACATTATTCATAATTATATTTCATTTAAGTTTTGGCAGTGGTTAAATATTAGATATAATTTTTGTCTAAATTACATTAAAATACTTACGATCTTCATTATTATTAAGTCGTAATTTTGTAACTTCCTGCACACTTATTAGCTTTTTAATATAAACTTGAGTAAAGACTGGACTTCTAGTATCTTCGCACCAGGATATTGAAAAGGGTGATGCGTGTAATTCCGATGCTTTATCCGTAATATAGATAAAATGTTTATCTTTTCATACAAACATATCGATACATAGTAAGTCTGTATAAACATATATATGGGGTACAGTTGTTCTTTAGGTTCATTCAACAATCATCTTCAAAAGTGCAAAGTCTTTAACAGTACCAATATAGTGTTTGAGTTTAATTTTCTTTTATTATTCATGTAAGTTTAAATTATTTTAAAACGCGTTCTTTATCTTGTTTTGAAAAATAAACGGCAATAGCACGTTGCGTCAGTTTTTTTTTTAATTAGCACAAATGTGACAAATGTTTATAACGTTTTTTGTGACACTGGCTGTAAAAAATAAATTTTGCGTTTTAGGCTCATTTAGTTTCTATTAATTTGTATAAGTTCGTCTTTTTTTAATAAGATTTTTATGAAAAAAATATTCTTGTGTTTGTAATCCTGTAACACTAGTGGAATACGGGTGCGAAAAAAATAATCTTTGGCCGCTGTTTTAAAAACAAACACTCGAAACACAAATATAGTATCATCTGCAAATTTATTTAAAAAACTTTATCGCCCGTCATCTGTATCGATTTGAATACAAGGATTGTTTATAATTTATATTGTGAATTACAAATGCATATAAATCTCAATACGAATTAAAACTCAATATATTTTGGACTTTTCCTAAAAACAAAAATTTACATGTTTGCCGCGTTGTAAATTCCTCTCATTATAAATTTAGCTTTTGCATAAAAATGTTATTTTTATTTTCGTATTTATTTCAAAAGCCGTACCTACAATTTGCACTCATTAAAGCGTGGTAAAATAGACGAAATTATAAAACAAATGAATTAGAACCAGAGGTTCCTATCAACAGCGACGATTGTTCTGTCATACTTCAGTTAATATTCGTTACGAACTTATTAATAATCAACTGTCAGGTTCATAACAATTAGCAATTCAAATAAAATTGAGGTTATAATATCTTTGTCTATTTTGGCAGTAATTCAAGATGGCGCCAAAATCGGCGGACGCTAACGGGGTGCTGTTCGAGTCTGACGCAGCAACACCAGACCTGGCGCTGGGCAGCGCGCCCATCATGCAAGCTGACAAACAACCGAGAAGGCTTGTCTGGAGGAATATAATCGCCTTTGCCTACCTCCACCTGGCAGCTATATACGGAGGCTATCTCTTTCTATTCCACGCTAAATGGCAAACAGATATATTTGGTGAGTATTATGATACTAATTTACACAGATTTAGATGTTTCATTAAAAAAAAAAGTTCTATCGCCGCGTCCCTGAGTGCTATAATAGAATAACCCTGTTAAACACAGGCTCATCGACCAAACGATCGAGTACCAAGACTACAGAAAAATAAATGTCTATGCACTATTTGTATTTTTATAAAGTTATTAAATAGTAATATTATTTCGTGAGAAAGACGTATTGTAGACATTGTTTAATCCGTTTTATAGCTATCGATTACCAAGATAAGATTATCTTCTTTTTAATATAAACCAATTAGTATTAATAGGAGATAATGTTTCTAAACTCTTTATAATACTATGCAATCTCTTCCGCGATGTTTCTATCTAATTCCTGTAAAGTTCTTCCTGATTAGTCTTATTTTCATCATATTGTAGACAATCATGGTTTAAATTTATAGACGTCGGATTCAACTTATATATTATACAAAGCAGGAATCCAATACATTACTTAGGGATAGGACAACGAATATACTACTTTACAACAGAAAGATTTACCTCTGAGTATTTTCAATGTTCATAACGTAAGAAAAGAAAGGTACACCCCTAAGGAAAATAAGGAAATCCCCGTTACCAAAAAGCATTTTTTCTTTCATGAAGTCCTTAGAAAACAACCAGTCACATTGGTAAGAAGTGGTAGACAAACAAAACTTAGCGTCCAAATGTATTTAGATTCCTTATTGAAGGTTTTTAAGATTAAACTATCTTGCCTACAGCGTACATACTATACGTGATGTCAGGACTGGGCATCACAGCGGGCGCACATCGACTCTGGGCCCACAAATCGTACAAAGCCAAGTGGCCGTTAAGACTCATCCTTGTCATCTTTAACACGCTAGCATTCCAGGTAAGACTTTTATATTATCTTTTATCCTTGTCTAACAAACGGAGAGTCGGCGAAGTTTTCGTATTTCAGATTGTTCTATCTTCCGTCAATTCAGTTGTTCTTAGAAGTAATTTATTTTTACATTTATACAGTAATGAAACAATAATGTGCATGAACTTACGTCATATTGTGACGCAGTTTTTGTTCGTGTTGTTACGATTATATACACAAATATTGTTCAGACATTCCCATTGATTGGCTTGATCTTGAAAAGCTAGGTTAGGAAATATATTCAGGTTTTAAAACGCTACGTTTTCTAAGGTTTTCATTAAACTGTTAAAACGTTGCAAAAAAACGGAAAGAACGTACGCCGCGTAATGTATGTTCTTTAAAAAGGTTTTAATATGATATTAAAGTTTCGATCTGTATTAAAAAAAAAACTGTTTACACGAACTGCCTCATGTTAGTGTTGCATGTTATTTTTCATAACTTTTACCTTGAATTACATGTAGTTTTGCAATGAGTGTCAGACACAGTTTCTTGGACGATAGCCAACATTATCTGCGTTTATTTTTTACTTCACTATAACGTTGGTTATGTTTACGATATCAAAAACTTTCTACTTGATACCGTTGGTTTCTGAGACCAAATTTTCTATATAAAACATATCGTCATCCCTGTCATTATCAAAACTGACATAACAATATGTTAACGGGGATTTAGGTCTCAGAAACCAACGGTGAGCATGGTAACCGTGAAATTTCACTTCTATAATTTTGAGTTCCGAACACACTCTGTTTCTTATTATTCAAAGAAAATTAAAAGGACGACAATAGGTTTTGCATAGTTAACCAATTTTAAATAGCATTGAATTAGTCTATTGCTAATGCCTTTTTAATATCAGAAACAAAATCTGTCTGTTTTTAAATATAATATAAAGATAAGAAGTAAAAGTTCTATATGAGAATAGGCAGGTAAACGTTGCGTGGGCGACGCTTTGTTGACGGTAGATAAATTGCACTCATCGTTTATCAAGATAACGACACGACAGAGGACAGAGAACAAGCCGGAATTACCTACTTTACTTTGTGTTGTTATTGAAATTGCATTGTTTTTTTTTCTTTAAACATTTTATAACTATGATAATAAACTGCGAATCGAGATTCAAGATTGCAGAAAGAACTGACGGAATCTGTTATGTTTGTGTTTGTGACAATTTTTTATACGAGCACTAAACATTTTATTATCTGTCAATGTACCGATAAAATATTACAATAAGTTCGTCGAGAACCTTATCGCCTAATGCACCGTGTTGACATTGATGAAAAAAAAAAACTTTGCTAATAAAAATATTTGCTAGTACTATGTTATTTATTAGTCTTTCATACGTGATGGGGATTTCAGACAATTGTTACAAGGAAAACCAAAAAAAAAAGTCAATAAAAAACCTTGAATGTCGTATTTGAATCGAATTCAGGACTTACGTTATAATTCTTATTGCTATAATCACTTAGTTATTTGGGTCTTTTTAGGTCTATATAAAAAAGGAACAAGATATCTGGATGACTCTACCCGACAATATTCAAGAGATTTACACTTGAGTCACAATAGACATAAAAATATACATGTTCCATTCGCTTACGTGACTTGTAAAAGGCAAATATATTAAATAATCACCCACTTGTTCGTCGGTATTATTGACAATAGGTTTTGCATTCAGTAAATCACTACTAAATTACTCCTCTTTACGCAATTTTCTTGCTAATTTTAAATTGTTTACTCTGACTCATGAGTTTTATTTAAACGAGACACTGCTAACTAATAATAAATGCGAATGTTTAAAATGGATGGATGTATGTTTGAATTTATCTCCGGAACGGCTGAATGGATTTCGATGAATATTGGCATATATATTGAACATAATTGTAAGAACACATAGGCTACTAATTATATTTTTACCGCGTGGCGACCGTTAATTATTTATAAATGTCATTATCTTCATTTAAATTAACTGTCACGGTACTTCCAGTTCAAATAATATGCGTTTTACGGCCTATTTAGGTATTGTGAAACTTAATTTGAGAAATAAGATTCAAGTAACTTATTTAGGGCTTAATAGAAGTATTAAAATGCTTTTCGACTTTAGCATGGTAGGGATATATAATACATTTTTTGTTTAATCTTGTGAATAAGTTTTTTTGCATGTTTGATAAATTAAAATGTATCGCGGTCGCATATTGTTTAATTAACCTGGCTTCGTATAGGTTAATGTGCTTACAGACAGAATATAATGTAACAACATTGCATTCACCTCTGACCTGCATGTGTTTGACCTGTTTAAAGTTCATATTGTATTTAATCGGATAACTGATTATAATAATACTAAGTCTTAGTTTTATAACACGTGTAACTGCAACAGAGTCTGGAATTATGTAATGGAAACAATTGACTCACACTTACGTGGTTAAAACAGTTATCTTTTGATCCTCGAGTAATTTTTAATTATTAAATACATTGTATAATAAAATATGAAGCAATTTTTGTGACTAATAAAAAAAAATCATAATATAATATTTTCTACGTTTATATTTTACCGTTAAGATACATTAGCTGTCGCCCGCGTCTTCGCCTGCGCGGAATAAAAAAAATATTAGTAGCCTATGTGTTCTTCCAGACTATCTTCTACATCTATGCCAATTTTCAGCAAGATGCAGCAGTTCTGGAGATACCTTTTAGCAAATATTCATCCATCCATCCTTCCAAACATTCGCATTTATAATATTAGTAAGAAGTATTTCCATCATGGAATAATTTATACTGTACATATCTGTGGTTATGACCGTGCAAACGTAACCGCATATTAATAAGAACATTTAATTATTTTTTTGGTTTTTACTTCTCAATGCTTACAAATTTTAGTAATGTTTAATAATTAGAAGTAAAACTCAAGTGATAGCTTTACTTCGGTAAGTGACGAGAAGTTTTTAGGAGTATCATTCTAAAAGCAATGGTAATAAAGCTCATTTTATATAATTGTAGGATTCAGCAATAGATTGGGCGCGCGACCACCGCATGCATCACAAGTATTCGGAGACGGACGCGGACCCGCACAATGCGACACGAGGCTTCTTCTTCTCGCACATCGGCTGGCTGCTCGTGCGCAAGCATCCTGAACTGAAGCGTAAGGGCCAAGGTCTGGACCTCAGCGACCTCTACGCAGATCCCATACTCAGATTCCAGAAGAAGTTAGTATTTGTCTTTATTGATATTTTCGTAGAATAATTTAGACTATAAGTTGAATTTACTTTAAAGCTTAGGATTTTTAACATTGGTAGACAGCAACAATATCTGTTGGCCAGCTCGACCGGTGGAATACCACGACCACACGGAAGTCGGAGGCCTAATTAGTCTTCTTTCTCTTCCCACACTTTTCATTTAAGCAATGGATGGAAAGGTGAAGTGGATTCTGGAATATTCTCTTTTTGTGCGTCTCCTCCTCCGATGATTAAAAGTAGTCAACGCATCTGCAACTGCGGTAATGTTAAACAATTATGTTCCAGATATTACCTTCTCCTGATGCCCATAGCGTGCTTCATCTTGCCAACTGTTATCCCCGTGTACTACTGGGGCGAGAGTTGGGTCACATCCTTCTTTGTAGCGGCTCTCTTCCGTTACGCTTTCATACTGAACGTCACGTGGCTAGTGAACTCAGCTGCGCATAAATGGGGCGACAAACCATACGACAAACACATCCAGCCAGCCGAAAATATATCCGTCTCCATCTTCGCTCTCGGTGAAGGATTCCACAATTATCACCACACCTTCCCCTGGGACTACAAGACCGCTGAACTCGGCAACAACAGGCTCAACTTCACCACTAATTTCATCAACTTATTCGCTAAAATCGGATGGGCTTACGATCTCAAGACCGTGTCAGATGAGATCGTACGTAACCGTGTGAAGAGAACAGGTGATGGATCCCATCACCTCTGGGGTTGGGGTGATAAAGATCACGCTAAGGAAGAAATCGATGCAGCCATAAGAATTAATCCTAAAGACGATTAAATATTTTTTTCTAACTTGCTTAATATTGACATTGGAAATTGTTTTGTCATAATGATCTGGACATTAGATGTCGTATAGTGAAAAAAAAACACTTTGAAATTATAAAAAGCAAAATAATTTTGAATGTTTTACTAAACATTCAAAGATTTAAATACGAACAAAATGCTCGATTACTTATTTTCACAGATGTTTCTTGCTTTTTTATAAATTTTTTAAAAGTTAGTTAACAGAATAAGATTTTTTTTTTTATTTTGTCGCTAACGACCATACATCCTAAATGCATATTTGATACTAGCAACATTTTTTTTCAATTTTTTTTGTCACATATTTTGGCACTTAAGCTTATTGCCAGTATTAGAGATTATTTTATTAATTGTAACTTTAAGATAACAGTAAATATTGAGCACTTAATTTGGTATTTGTATTTAAATCTTTGACATATGTAAAAAAGCACTGCAAAGGCACATGCTATTTCTGACTCACACACAAAGACATTTTACAAAGTTCTTTTATTAATTTACTCTATTAAATAACTGTTAAATATTATAAATGTTCTATATAACATAGTTCTAAATGTTTCTAAAATAAGATAAAATGCTAAAAAATAGAATTTTAATAGATTAGAATATGCATTTTTAAAAATATTATTTTCAGTCATTGCTTATAAAACTGATTATTATGTGCCTGAAGACAGTATTAGTTTATTTAGTTTTTTTTTTTTAGTTAAATCTGATTAATATCATTTTTTCATATATTTTGTTGACTATAAAAACTGTTAAAATCTTCGGCACAAAATTAATTTTTAGTAGAAATCTTCCATAAAAATTGACGTCTTACCAAATGTCCTTCCGATGGATATCAAAAATTGTTACAAATGTAGCTTTTTATATAAAATAATTTCAATTAATTCAATTCTTTCATAAAAAATAATTAACACATTTGCCGATTCGTAAGATGAATTCACTTACATGCGAAAAAATCTTAGTAACATAGATTCTGTTAATATAAAATTGTCTTCGATTTTTTTGTCATCGCTTTTTATGCATTTTCATTGTTATTTCACAAGCCAGTATTATCTACAGATAATTCTATTTATTTGTCTATAATTTTATCTAAAAAAGATAATTAGATACGGAAGAGGAAATTAAAACGACATAAAACTGAGGCATTAAAATTTTAATGTTTATAACAATTAGAATAGAGTCCCACATTTGTATACCAGAAAAAGCTATAATGATAAAAATATTCTTTCAGGACGTAATAATTTTGTATTTAGTGGCCGTTTATTAATTACGTGATGTTATCAACTTTTGAAATCCCTCCCTGGCGATATCTGGTTTCATATTAACCTTCACCTTAATTAGTTAGAAAATCACGTGATATATTTTGCACCTTCCCGTGATGTTCCGTGATTTTTTCGGATCCTCTCGAGGCTCACGTGATTGATAGACGATTACTAGCATTGCACTTTTCAAATATACGTTATTTTTTAATTCGCTTGGTAGAGTTTGAGATGGAATCAATGTCTACATATAAATGTAGTGTGTGTGTGTATCGTGTTACACATAGTATCATTCATGAAACGTTGTGATATATTTAAGAGGGTAATTAGAAAGTAGACGCTTTTTTTTAAGTTTGGATAATTTTCAAAATTTTATTCATAACCAGCGTAATATCGATGTGCTTAACATGTAATAGTTACGTAGATGTACTTTTGCTTGTGTCAGCTATAAATTCACATTATACTGAGACTGATGTAATATTTGTGTTTTATTTAATGCATTTCCCATACATCCCATAACCCTGTTTTACATAGCAAAGGCCGACTTTGTAAGTTTCTTGACTATATTTTAAAATATCTCTGAATAGTCTTAATACCAAATATATCGAGTTTTTAATCCTGATAAAAATGCACTTAAGACCTAAAGTTTACTGTAAAATTGATATTTTCGTTAATACCGCTATGCTTTAATAGACATCGAAATTTCAGTTGACATTTTTAGACACAATTCAGTTAATATGTTTCTCTTTTTATATCTAATTCTTGTGCAAGGCGTTAAATAAGCAGAAGTAAATTACACATTTTAATACGGTGCTCTAAAATAATCAGCACTTTATTGTGATTAATGTATTTCATAGTCCCGCAATCACACAATTTTTAGAGTCCTTTGCAACGAATGCTTTGCAAATGCTCCTGCGCAGCCACTTCTTAGCAAAATAGCTATAATTTTAGCAAGTGAGGCAACTGTCTTATCAAGCATTAAACTGCAAACTTAGTCTTAGCATTCCTGCTGGTTTGAGCCTGTTGTGACAAGATGACAGCTTCCTTTGCCTTCTTCCGTGACAGGCTGCTGTCGCTTTGTCAGCGCACTTCGTATCAAATGCTCTCCTCATAGAAGAAGTCATGTTCATCGTATTTATCCGGGAGACAGACGAAGAACTCTATGAAGTTCATGATAGGTCCTCGTGAGAATGGATTCTGGTAGCGACCTCTCTTGTCCCTCAAGTAAGGATATCGTTTGTAGTTAAACATTTCGTTAGTAGTCAGGTTCATGCATGCGTGAAGAATCTGCATACAAATTACAAAAGTGTACAACAATTGGTATTAAGTCACTGAATAAAAATTGTAGTTAAATCAATAAAAGTACTCACCGATGTGCAAGTAAGAATCCAACCGAGCGCGCAAAACGTTATAGCTTCTAAAAGTCCAAGCATGTACAATAAACCAAAACCCTCTAAAAACAGACAATAACAGGCGAAGTATATAGATAGCGTGCAGTTTATAGCAACACTCATTACAAATAAAAAGAACCACATTCGGTTTCGAACGCCGATACAGTTGTAGATGAAAGGGCAATGATGGTCGAAGTACGCCACACAACGTTTGCAAATCCGACAATGTTTAGCTCTGAAATGAAAAATTATATCAATTAGCTAAAGAGACAGTAACAGAATCATCACCATCAGGGCTTAAGCTATATAAGGCTTAAGTGTGTAAAATAATATTTGCTAGTTCTATACCTTAAAGGTCTTAAACATCGACAAGTATGGCACAGACGTGAGAGGATGACATTCCGTTTCTTCCACTTATCATAGTAAGGTATCTGTCGGATCGCGCGGTAGTATGTCTCAGAGTTCTGCGGGATGTAGCCGGGGTCGCGCCGGTTGGCGACCACCCAGCTCAGCCACATTATTACATTCCAGTACAAAAAGAAGTAATGTGATAGACGTAATGTATTCCATGTTAGAGGTATGCACTGAAATTGGAGAAAATCATTATGGGCTAGATTTTTTTTTAATTATAACCAATGAAAAATTTAATTAATCATTTTTTTAAGAACCTAAAAAAAATGTTATGGCTAGGGAAAATTTTCCTAAGCTAAGTAATTAGATTTTTCATAAAACATACAATGAATATTAATTTATGTGGTTAAATAATTAAATAACTTTGTTATTACCCGTATTATATACATCGGATAGCCCCACAGCAGGACGGAGACCAAGAAGAACAGTAAAGGTCCTTTCGAGTCTCCCGCGCCTCCGAACAGCAGCGCCCAGAGCTCAGAGAGTGGCGGCATCCAGTGCGATTTCCTCTTCATTTCTTTCTGCAGCAGTTTCACAACCTCAGCGTGCCGATGACTCTGCGCCAGCATTAACGGTGTTTTTCCATTCTTGTCGCGGGGTTCTAATTCTGCTTTCACCTATAATAAGGAAATGATTACAATTTAAAAACTTGAATCATTTTAGAATTGCCTGTGGAAGATGCAAAGAAATTGTTATAAAGTTATGATATAAAGATGCAGAAAGTAGAGCGAAAAGCCGGCTCGACTATTTTTTAACATTAACGCCTGTTAAAAACTGATGATGTACCAAATTATGCAAGAATACATTGCTATTATCGATCTTAAATCTTATAAAAAAGTGAGAAGTACATATTGTGAATGTTCAGTGTAAATTACCTTTTCACATAACAATCTAACACACGTAAGGTTCCCGGAAAGACAGGCGAGATGTAAAGGTGTTGATCCGAAGTTATCCGTGCAGTGTAAAGGCACGCCGGAGTATATCAGTAGGCGCACGAGATCGGCGTGGCCTTTGTAGGCGGCCCAATGCAACGCGGTGTCTCCGTTGATGTCAGAGAGACGCGTCGCCGCGCCCATACCCAGTAAATACGCCGCGGTTGCTGTCTTGCCGTACATACATGCCGTCATTAGCGGGGTTAGACCTGAAATGAAACTTATTGTAATTATTAGGTGAGCTTGAACATGTAGATGTTGTGATGTAAATTAGGCAACGTTCGTGTAATGTAACGCCTGTGATAATACGATTAGCAAATGTACAAAATGCTAGAAAATGCGTCCGACTATGAAAATGTCAAAATGTCAGCAATAATCTGTAAATATTTCATGCTACGAATATTTTCAAACTTCTTAATAAATGTTAACAAACTTATTGATGAAAAAACATTTGACCTTTAAAATCTGCTGCATTGACTGCGACCCCTGATTGCAACAGCACTTGGACCACAGAGGCGTGGCCCTTGCGGCACGCCCAGTGTATTGGTCTTGGTCCCTGAAACAATTCAGTGGAAAGGACATCTTAGAACTAAAGACAACAAAACATATCTATATTAAGAACTCTAAGAAATTACACTAAAGATTTAAATTGTGTAACTATATGTAAAGAGGTGTATTGTGTACCTGTGTTCCCAAGCACGAGAGGTCGATCGGTGCGCCACTCTCGACGAGGTAACGCATTACGGCGACGCTGCCGTCAAGAGCTGCCCAGTGCGCTGGCGTGTAGCCGTGCTGGTCTCGCGCACTGAGCACCTCCACACCCAGCTTCTCCACAACCTTCTCTATCTCACAAACTTCACTGTAAAAGATACAACTTTACTGCAAGACTGCCAGAAGACACGTGTTCACATTTTTATATACTTTACAGCTTTTAAAAATGCATTTTTTAATTAAGTTTGGATGCCATAGCACGAGAGTTTAGTATTATTTACTTTAGAACTCTGTGTTTAACTATACCCGGATCGTACAGCCTCGAAGATGAGCTGATGGAGATCCGAGAGGTGCGTGAAGTTGGTAGTGATGCGTGGAGGCGCGGCGGGTGTGTCCGGGGAGAGTGGGGAGCAGGCGGGCAGCGCCTCCTCGGCCGCCATGTTGCAGGGGGGCGGCTGCGGGAGCGCCCACACTCCCCGCGCCGCCCCCGGCCTCGGGTACACCTTATACATTAAACCAAACACTATAGATTTGCATCTATATTACAGTACATATTAGCAAAAGAACAGCTTTTCTATTTAGGGTTGCTATTAGAAATACTAAATTCAGCTAAATGTAGTTGATATGTTTACTTCGTGCTTGACTGAAGGTTATTAACAGGAATAATTAACCCCATTCTAAGGAAAACTTAACCTTGAACAAATTGAGGGTAGGTAAAACTAAAAAGACACAGGACGGTAACAACGTATACTACCTAAACACTAAGTTATATGGCTTGCGTACAAATTATAGGTTTTCCCATAAAAATTTACCACATTCCTTTTGATTTATACAATATTCATTAACAGACGACTTCATTTTTACGACGACTTAAAAATTTGTATGAGTAGGAAAATAACACTGACTAATTGTAAAATATGGAGTAAAAGCAGCCTTATTTCGATGAAAGATAAAATACGTCATCTTTGTATTGGGAAAGATAATTAACATGTAAATTAATTAACTCGACTTTAAACGTTTTACCAAGACAGAATGAATTTATAGGTTAGAACATATAAGGTTACCTAGGTAAATCTATACGTTTCTATATTCTATAGCACAAATTATTGAAACTCTATGAAGCAACGCCGCACTGCGGTTAAACAACCGCATGACGTGTCTATATCCGTTTACACTCGACCGATTTTTTTACTTCACCTAAATATTGGGTTAAAAACATTTCATTTACCCCAATCTGTACTAACCATTCAATTTCACGTTCACTTTTAAAATAATAATTTAGTCTTCCATTACTATCGCTACGAATTGTACAATAGTATACATCAAGTAAATAAAGTATAAAATAATCTAATACACATTACTGTGTCGTATCTTATCCTAGAAAATTACATTCCAACTTTTAGTGTGGGCGTAATGGTAGACGGTTTGAAATTACGACTAATTCCGTAATTGCTCACACAGCGGCACCGCTAAGTCGAAATGGACACTAAACACAGAATGTCAAAAACATTTGTATGTACCTTATTTATACCATCATTTTTACATTTATTCTTTAAGAACTATTTTAAATAAGAGGGAAAGATTATTAATTATTTATAAGTTGATAACAATTTAAAAAGGCCCAAATATTACGTACTTTATCAGCGATACAAGTATTTGTTTTAGATTGATGGAAAGAAAAGTATGACAACCTAGTACCTTTATGGATTGGTTTTATGCAAACTTTTCGCGGTATATATTTTTGCATTGTCCACATTATTATTTCTCCAAACCACTAGATGGCGCTTTAACATTTCTTCCACGGCATGCAACCAACTGCCGTGCAAATTGAAATAAATCTGTACTACAAAATGCGCATTCTATTTTTTTCATTTGAGCCTTTACTCTAACGCTACCTTTTCACCCTTGGACTTAAAGTCAGTTAACTCACAGGTCGAGTCGGAGGATCTGGATGTGTTAAATTTAACATTTATGTGAAAAATACCTTGCTATTCACGGCGAGGCCGACGCCGACCGCCGCCGAACCTGTATTCTCTCCGTCCGCCACGGCCACTGCACCTTAACACCAACAATCAAAACTCCTCTAGACCACCAGCATTCATAGAACACACAAATCTTATAGTAGCAAAGAACGTCCACTTGCAGCGTCAAACAAATGCTACTGTCACTCTATTGATTCTTAAGTCTATGGACATGCGCCGTACTGGCCTCTTGAAGCGCCATATTCAAATTAATGGAAATCAAAAGTGACAATCAAATCATTAACGGATTAGAAAAATTAGGTTTAATGTTTGATCATATTGAAAGTATGTTACTTGTTTTCATAGAATGTAATTACAACGAAAATTTTCATGATAAACATGGTACAAAGTCTCTTTGTGGTCGTGTATGAAATTGCACGACGTGTTAACAATGACTCACTTTCCAAGAGCATTATTAGTGCGGTAATTTATGTACGTATTACAACGGATAAAAAACAACATCTATTTATTCTTGTATCGGTTACAAATCCGAGCTTTAACATCGATAAGGTGATGGTTTTGTAATTAAAAAAATTGTTCACTTGTAATAATAAAAGAACGGACTAAACGTTCAAAAGGAACGGATTATCTAAGCCTTTACAAAGTTACACTTCTTTGGTTAGCCATGTTAAAATTCACTATCCACCTATTTATGTTGAAACTATGATCGCGTGTTGTATTGTGATTGCATTACATCGGAAGTAAATCATTTTTCAATACTTCCGTGTTGAAGTGAAAACGTTAAACGCATTTACTTCACTCTTATATTAAATATATTTTAATGACAAATAAAAACTGCTATTTAGAATTCAAAATAGCGTTCTTTATACTCACACTTGGCCAGCCGACTCACTATACCCTAGTCACCTTTGATTAGCAAAAAGTTTTATTGCTAATGAAATTGGGTAGGCTCTGAGCCCATTGGAAATATGACCTGAAGACACAAGATAATGAAGTTAAATCCATTAGTTTAAAATGGAATCATCTTTGCAATAATTAATTTTTTGTTCGCTGGTTGTGCAAAAAGTGTTTACTCAATTTGTTAATAATTAATTACAAGCTTCCATATAAATTGTAAAAATGTTCCTTACATTATGAAACAAAATTAGATCTTACTAATTTTGCGTCTGCATCTTTGAAATATCAATCGCAATTTAGTACATTATTTGGACTGCAGATAAAACGGGTCAAGGAGTCAGGAATACGAATGATTTAGATAATTCATTAAAGTATTGCACGTTTAATAAATACTATTGTAATTAACCACTAAATGAGGCGTTGATTTATTATGCGACTGATATTCTAACCCAGTTGTTGCTATCTCGTGACGTAATTACATCATCGTATTTGAAATAAGGTTGCCGGTTACGAGAACAGACAGTAAGCTACCTATATCGAAATATTTCGAAATCGAGAAACCAAACTTATTTTCACGATACATTTGTAACTGTAGAGGTTAATAACCTCAAGAGGGATTTATGTTTATATCTCTCGATTATTTCTACTGCCGAAAATAAACTTTGTAAGTTTTGTAACTGATCGTGATAGCAATTCTTGTGCTTTTTTTTTTAAAAAAACTTGATTCGTGAAATAACATGTATAATCTCTATGTATATTATTTTGTCACGTGTATACTTTTATCAAATTGAATTCGAATTCGGTTGGTTGAAATTATGAAAAAAATCAAATTTAAAATTTATAAAAATCATTTTTAATGATTATAAATTGATAAATGTTAGTGACAATATACCATAAAATTATTGCTTCATAAAACAAAATTATTAATAAATATTTATACAAATTTTGGACAACATCAAAAACCGAAACTTAATTTTACAATTGTATAGTGCATCAAATCCAAATTAAAGTTTATTATATACTCGCTGAATTTACACATATATAGCTGTGTAAGAAAAACAAAAGTTTTAATCTCTAATTATAAAAATATACAAAGATTATATAAATTTTGAAATACATGCCTATTTATAAGATATGGGAAGAATTATTGTAATCATAAAATTTTTCTACTAAAAATTTACTAGGGTGCAATTCAATAAAATAAAACAGGACCTATTTATAATTAAATAAAGGCAGTGTGTTATAATACAAACATGTGCTCTTATTCAAATAGATCACAAATGTATGACGTCAGACATCAACACATACATTATGAGCTATTTCAATACAAACTGCATTTATCATCATTCCAAATAGAAAATACCCCATACAAGTTGTAGACAATACAAAGACACATTAAAATTGTGAAAATGAACTTTAATTCAGCAAATTTTTATACTAAATGTATAAATATGATATAATCTAGATTTCGTTTTCACTACCTAAATAGACATCATGTTATAAAAAGTGTACCACTAAACCTAATAGCTGATTAAACATCTCATTGTGGCTTAAATTAATTAGATCTTGTAGAAGCACATTCTTTATAAAGATTGATTATACTTAAATAATAAAAAAAAAAATCAAAGCACATAGCTCACAACTGATGTTGAAGTCCAAATAACATACATCATTACAAAATCTTAAAATCCTAGTAAACTTGAAACATTTAACGAGCAAACTGAATAAATTATTATTCATAATAAGAAACAAACTTAACAATGTTGATAGCTCAAAGTAATATAATATTTTTAACAAGAGTCAACAGACTTCACAAACAGTAAGTGCACTCCGGCTCCCATTCCAAGCTCCAAACTATTTCATTTTGTATCAAATGATGCCAATCAATGGAAAAGAATTCAATCATTTTGTCTATTTATTACTGTATTGATATTGTAAATTGTATAAGGCCCCAAATTGTGACATTATCTCTTTTGCGTCTTGAAACTAATGGATAGAGGTTGACCATGGACGATGTAACCGTTCAGGCTTTGTATGGCCATCGCTGCCTGATCGTAATTTCTCATTGTTACAAAACCAAAGCCTTTGCTTTTATTAGTTTGATGATCCTTAATTATCTTAACAGATACAATAGCACCATATGGACCGAATAATTGCCATAAAGTCAATTCCTCTACTTCAGGAGCAATATTATAAATATAAATAGACCATGTACCTGGGGAGCCATGGTCTCCTAAGGCGTTCATGTGATTAATCCAATGATAAGGCTTCACCAATGGGTTTTTAGAAAAATTATTGTTATTGTTTTTATGTTTGTTTGGATTACTCTTATTAGCATACTTAACAGTTAATGGATGCATAAATCCAGGAGGAGTAGTGCCGTGGATACTCTGGATGGCTCTCTCAGCCTCATATTGGTGTTCATACAATACAAAAGCTATGCCGGCGGCAATACGAGAATTGACTATTTTACCAAATTGTGCGAAAAGTCCATGTAAATCCTGCAAGGTCAGTTCATTAGGTAAATTACATACATAGAGGTTCCAGTCCGCTTCCGGTTTCGATGGTGGTTTTAACTCTGGATTGAGCAGCGCGTGTGACACCTTCAGAGTCTTGTTCTGCATCAGCAGACCATTGAAAGCCTTTCGAGCTTTGACTGCATCTTCAGGACAAGTATACTCGACGAAACCATACCCTCTGTTCGCTATCAATTTACAACTTTCTAATTTACCCATGGTTGAAAAAAGTGAGAACATCATATCCTGCGTCATAACTTCAGGAATGTAATTGACGATAAGCTTCGTTGGTGATTCGTCAGGGCCATATTCGTTATTTCCATGACAATTACCGTCTTGACACGATTCCGACATTTTTTAATTGTTGTCGCCGAATGACATTTGGCATAAGCATTGCCACTTTCTGTATTACGTTCCGAAACATCATAAACTTTCTTTAACAATATTTGAGAAAACAAACGAAAATTATTAATTTGCAAAATCAAGATTCAAGATAATATAAAAACTAAATACTTTTTGATAACAATTTTTCATACGAAGCGAATAACCTAGACAGTAATTAATAATTATAAATTCATAAAATTATTTCACATTATGTTTGTTTCCTGAGGTTACAACCACTTAGCCGCTAAGTCTTAGCACCACAAACTATCTGGTCCGGTGGGTCCGGTCCTTTTGTTACTGTAGTAATTTAGTCATGTGTAGTGTATGAAATTGCAACAAAAGTATATTCTAGTAGAATGATTTACTACTACCACGGATACGTTTTTCTATAGTTCCACAAAGGTCGCCACATCGAAAATGATGGCAGTTCGAAAATATGTGAACTAAAAAAGTTATCTTGATAGCATCATGTTTGACCACTAATGGGGTGGTAGCTGCACCGGATAATGTTGCCATTTTCACATTTTCGAAATACCAGAAAAATCATGTGTGGCGATTTAATTGCGAGATCATTCCTTATCGTTTAAGATCAATTTAAGGAGAATTCGCTACGATTTGTTATTGCAAAATATTTCTTTAAATCTATTTCAAGTTTACGTCTTATTCATAATATTGGGAAATTACACACTCGTGTCATGCTGTCATAAAATTTATTGCCTTAAACTGTTAACATAAATACATGATTTTTTTGTAATTTTAATACATATACACATTTGATTACACAGCGTAGATTTGCAACACATTTTGTCAATTCATATATAAATATTACTCTATACACTTGCAAGCTCTTAAAATACGAAAATAGAGCTAAAAATACAATTAAACAATTTTTGTTCGTTACAATCGTAGATAATTTCAAAAGCGCGTAAAATACACAGCACAATATTAATGCGTATTAAGCTTGTCGATTTTTTTTTACTTATTTTTTACCTTTTATTATGGTAACACCGGAATCAGCGAATATTATTTGAAATATAATCTAGAATATTATATATTCAATATAATGTTTGGTAACTGTAAATGTGCGTTTTCAATAAACTTGTGTCACGTGTTTCTTGTATTACGTCATTGGTAAATTATTACCTATTTTGGTAAATTAAAAGTATCATTTGGTTCTAAAACTATTACCAACTTGGAATAAAATTTTCAATTATCTTATAAAATAAATATTCAAAATGGTAATCGTGTTTTGGGATGTAATATAGAACATCATTTACATATTTAAACTTTCAAATTTATGTATATTTAGTTCTATTAAGAATAAATAGACGAGTTAATAATTATCAAATATTTGTACCTTTTCGTTTTCTTTTTGATTATTCTTATTTTTCACATATCGCAAAAGCTCTAAATATATTATACTAACATATCTTTTTAATATTTCGCAATTTTTTTATAATTCAAACGACAATAATTGTCCTACTCAATTATTAAGACGTAATAATCCATTATAACTATTTAACTGCCATTTTGTGAAAGCGATAAAAATATTTATTAATTAGTCGAAATAAAATATTTTAACATTAAAATAAATCCATTTAAAAATAATAGTAGTAATTGTGCTATTTTCATTTCAAGTTTTAAACATTTGCAAATGTTGTCAGTCGAAATAATATAAATGAAGTGACAGATAGAATAATTTATCTATGGTTATTCAAACGCTTTAAAAGCACTCAAGACAACATAAAAATTATCACTACTAAAAATAATCATTTGCGTAAATAAAAATTATCATATCACAGTAATCGTTACTTACATCAAAATATTAACAAAAATATATTTATAAAAGTAAATAAATAAATCTTTAACATATACACTTTGGATCAGAATTAACTCGTACGTCTTATTGCGAAGCGTCATATAATATATTGTTTAATAATTTAGTTAAATATGTAACTAATATTTTATGATAAATATTAAATTTGTAATACTTTTATAAGGGTTCTCCTAAAAAATACATTCTGTGAGTACATATTGAACCTACACCTAACAGCTATGCGTAAAATCTCAATTAAAAACTAGATAAAATTATTGTCATTGTACCATTTGACTGAATCGGAGATCTGTATCTTTTGTCTTTGGTTTACGGAGTTTGTAGTATATTGTCTATGCTTGCGTAAGTACCGAAAGCAAAACCGGACACACCGAATACGATAATTAGTACATCTTTCCATAGTTTCCAGTCATCTTTGCCGAGCCTGTCTGGCCAAAACGTTATGATCTCGATGAATGGCGGGAAAATGATCGCCAGAGCGGAACTGCTAAACGCACCCACTAAGGAAATAATTCCACTCAGATTAGGAATAATTGCCGCCAACACAACTGAAAAAAATATAGGTTATAATTATTAATAAACATTTTTCACAGTGCACGACAAATTTTACAATCTTCCAGTTTACGATTCTTGAGACATTTCATAAATGAATAAGGCGACAAAATTCAAGTGTGTATTTAAATGTCATGTGTAATTTTGGATTTTTTTTTTTATAAAATGTAGCTTTGTTACAAATCTTGTAACAGAAATAGATTTAGGGCAATAAAATCTCCATATTCACGAAGAAATATCTTAAAAGATTTTCCTCGTTAACGACATTAACAGAACGAGTTCTGTATGCGATCAATTAAAAAAGACAAATATCTTATCTATCTATGTACTCTATCCACAGATTCGCAAATTTAGAACGTAATAAGAACAACGACCCGATTGAAATTAGAATTCTGACGTTCGAAATAAATTAAAAATAGTTGCGCAGTTTGAATGTTCTTAAGATATAAACAATATGCCCCGTTAGATGTGTAATTTGACGAGTTAGTCGTTCTTCAACGTAGAACGAAGTCAATGCGATGATTACTGAATTGAGACGGCCTACATACGGTCTAATACCGGTGAAAGTTAACCAAATTGCTACTCAACTCGTCATATCTAGTAACTAACGAGCTATGCGACCCTTTTGTTATTGATCTAGCTTTAATAATAGCTGTCGACCGCGACTCCGTTCGCGCGGAATTAAAAAAACCTTAATTAGTAGCCTATGTGTTCTTCCAGACTATGTTCTACATCTTTGCTAAATTTCATCAAGATCCTTTGCGCCGTACCGAACGTACCTTTCTAACATCCACACATCTGGTCTTTCGCATAATAATACTAGTAGTCGCCGTCCGCGCGAAATTAAAAAAAAAACTTTAAAAGTAGCCTATGTGTTCCTACACACTATGTTCTACATATGTGCCAAATTTCACAAGAATTTCTATTGGGCCGTCCCGGAGATACCTTCTCACAAGCATCAATCCATCTCATTATTAAGATTAAGTGGATATTGTAAAATAGAGATTTCGAATTTCTTTTATCTCGTACATCCATTTCAGAATTAAAATCGTACTCAACTATTGGATGTGTCGTAAACCTTAAGGTTACAATTTAGATCACTTGAAATATAACCGTTTTTAAGGGTGCATTCGTATAGCTCTAAGATTGAATCATAGTTGCACACATTATAAATATGTAGACGTCGTTAAAAGGCCTTGAACTACAATGCCAGCCAAAATCAATACTAGTGACGCCAGCGAGCCATTAAAATGCAAGCTTTTATCTCCCTACACGATTATAAGACATTTAATTATGCATTTTTTCGATGTCGTAATAATATTCTAGAATTGTGATAGTTATTTAAATTGCATACATATTAGAATTTTAATTATACCAATATACGCAAACATGAACTATGTATATTGTCTACGAGCGAGTGGCCACCTAAAAACACTGAAATAGCGAGGTGACCGTTGTCCATAGACATGCGCAATTGCATAAGCGTTGCCTACCTTTAATCGATGGAGGAGAGGATGCACAGAAAGAAAATATTTTCCCTTTCCATGCATCCTCTCATCCGGAAAGTCCACTTCCCATCCTTTCCTTATAAGAAAGAGAGTGGGAAAGGAAAGAGGACTATATAAGGTCTCCGGGACGCACACTCATCAGATGAAACGCGGAATTGCTTCTACTTCACGCCTGTCTTCTGTGTGGTCGTGGTATTTCACCGGGCGAGCCGGGCCAATTCTTGCGAAGATGTTAAAGCGGGCTCTACCACTGGTAAAAGGTAAGGTATCTCCAGAACAACATATCGGATCACGATGAAATTTAACATAGATTTACAGCATAGTCTGGAAGAACACATACAACTACTACTACTATTTTTTTTTAATTCAACGCGGCTACTATTTTTTTTAATTCCACGCGGATGGAGTAACCGACGACAGCAAGTAATGTATAATTTTTTTAAAATATAACAAAGTTATAAGCTAAAATGTGTAATATTACGCGGAAATATACGTGAATTATCAACTTGACATGGATCGGTAATTAAATGTCATATGATAAGAACGTTATTGTCATCTGGGGACAGGACAGCCAGATTCCATTAGCCTTTAGCAAATTACTAGATACGCCCCCGACAACAAACAATATTTTAGCTATAAAAATTGTATGGCGTGGTTCGTTTTTCTTAACTAATATTGTAAAATGCGAATGTTTAGATGGATGGATGGATGTTTATTAGAATGTATCTGCAGATCGGTTCAACGGATCTCGATGAGACTTGGCATGGATGTAGAACGTAGTCTGGAAGAACACATAGATTACTAATTTTTTTTAATCCTTAAAGTGGGAGTCGCGGGCGACAGTTAGTTTTCTTTATAGTTCTATTTTATTTGTTGCTATTTTCCTCTGAATTGTAATGTTCGAAATGAATTAATCAATTTTATTTTATATATTTGAACTTAATGAAAATTCTAACCGATCATATGGTGAGTTTTGTTTAAATTTCGCTATGATAAAAAGTATTTTGTTTTTCTTACTTATTTATACTTCAAATAATATGTTAAAGTTTCATTAGCGTCTAGTTACTGTAATTGATAATACAGCGTTGAAAGCAATAGATAACCTTTT